ACTATTATAAGTATAAAAGAACTATTATAAGTATTAAAAGAACTATTATAAGTATTAAAACAACTATTATAAGTATTAAAAGAACTATTATAAGTATTAAAAGAACTATTATAAGTATTAAAAGAACTATTATAAGTATTAAAAGAACTATTATAAGTATTAAAATAACTATTATAAGTATTAAAAGAACTATTATAAGTATTAAAAGAACTAGTATAAGTATTAAAAGAACTATTATAAGCATCAAAAGAACTATTATAAGCATCAAAATAACTATTATAAGTATTAAAAGAACTATTATAAGTATTAAAAGAACTATTATAAGCACTAACAGAACTATTATAAGTATTAAAAGAACTATTATAAGTATTAAAAGAACTATTATAAGCACTAACAGAACTATTATAAGCATTAAAATAACTATTATAAGTATTAAAAGAACTATTATAAGTATTAAAAGAACTATTATAAGTATTAAAATAACTATTATAAGTATTAAAATAACTATTATAAGTATTAAAAGAACTATTATAAGCATCAAAATAACTATTATAAGTATTAAAATAACTATTATAAGTATTAAAAGAACTATTATAAGTATTAAAATAACTATTATAAGTATTAAAAGAACTATTATAAGTATTAAAATAACTATTATAAGTATTAGAAGAACTATTATAAGTATTAAAAGAACTATTATAAGTATTAAAATAACTATTATAAGTATTAAAAGAACTATTATAAGTCTTAAAATAACTATTATAAGTATTAAAAGAACTATTATAAGTATTAAAATAACTATTATAAGTATTAGAAGAACTATTATAAGTATTAAAAGAACTATTATAAGTATTAAAATAACTATTATAAGTATTAAAAGAACTATTATAAGTCTTAAAAACTCCAACTTCTCCAAGATCTGCGTGATTTTGATCGTGTGAATTCCTAGCCCAGGAGCAGCACTCCAGCAGATCGCTGCTTCCAGTAGTGACAGGTTCGGCTGCCACGCAAGCAGCCCCTCCTAGCGTTGGATCAATGGATTGGTTGGACAATGTACAGGAAAGCCCTGTATTTAATGGGAAAATCTAGGGTTTCCGGTTAAGACTTTCCCAACAAAACCAATCCATTCATGGAAAAAGCTTTCGATTTTTTCAGAAGTTGCGACTGTGAACCTTATTACCCTCTGGTAATTTCACAGGTTTGCCCTGAAAAATGTCCATAGATGACATGATATACCTATACACAATGATGATCAATGATGTGTTTCCATAGCAAAATCAGCTTACTTGAGGGTAAATGTTTGGTAGACATGATCATCCAACGATCTAACGTTGGGGCTATCATCCCAGCTATCATCTCACCACGTGAGGGATTTCCCCAAAACGCCAGCTGCAGTCTCCTTTGGAACCCACGTGCTTGTCATCAAATTGGAATCCCCACGTCTCCACCCTTCCTCTGTCTATATCTATATCTATGTATATATATATATATGGTAGGCCCCTAAAAAAAAAACCTACCATGTTATATGTTTTAGATTCATTGGTGGGATCAACGGGGGCTGCCATCCATCTTATATACATGTATGCATATATACACCACTTTGTAAGATTCAGCAGTGATCAAGCACCCAGTTTTTCTCGATCCAGGAGTGTTGGTGATATCCCATTGTATCTTCTTAATATATCTCCACAATTGATCATGATAATGATTACTTACTTAGTTAGTTAGTCAGTTTCTTTGTTTGTTCGCTAGTCAGTTTAGTGTGTTGGTCTGTTCCTTCCTTCGTTCGTTCGTTAGATAGTGAATGATCTATATATATAATACATAATACAATAATATAATATATATATATACTATTATATACCATATGTAGTTCAATCCATGATTGGATCCCAACGGCTGAGATCGTTTCGCCCACGTGCGCGTCTGGGACCCTTTCCGTCCTGCAATGCTCCGCGCGACTTGCTTTGCCATCTCCATGGGCGGCATCGGCTCCTTGCTCAAAACACCCGATCGGTAAGGGGGTAAACTGGGTAAATATAGAGGTAAAATGACCTCTATACAACCCGCCAATATGTGGGTATCATTGGGTATCTATCATGTAAATCTATGGTTGGAGCAACCCTGTCAATGGTGTTTCAATTAGATCTTTCATAGGATATGAATGGAACTTATGGATTTAGTGGGATATTACACTCCAGTAAACTCACATAGCTATGGAATTTCCCATGTTTATAGATGATTTATGTTTTATGATGATTGACCTAGTATTCAATGGTGAATTTCCGTAGCAAACCGTTAAATGGCCAGAGGGTTGTACTTGTGTAGCCAATCAATGCTCGATTTTTGAACCCCCTGCTTAATGGGTTTAATGAGTACCATTTCTATTTTGCGAATGTTCAGTATATGGTGAAAAAACACCCAAATAATAAACCCGGGGTTTATCAATCCGATGTTGACAAAAAAAGCAATCAACAATGGTGTTTTTGGTGGTTCTGCTGGCTTTTTTGAAATTGAACCTATTTGTATAAAATAACAAAGAGTCCTAAATGTGATGCACATCCAAATGCGAACACGTCAACGGATTGATGAAGAGTCAGCAATTTTTAATGACGGATTGCGACGTCCCGATGGGCTGCCGCAGTCATGTTATGTGATTTTCGAATGGTGGAAAGCGAGGGCAGAAAAATACTTGCACGAATATCATCCAAAACCTGGAGTTGGGTGGTATAAATGAGGATGTTTGTCTCAAAATGAGGATGCCCCTTTAATGACCATTTTACCAGTGAAGATGTGGTGTTCAGCGTTTAGACCATGGGATTTGTGTAAGCCTCCAAGGTCGCACCAAGAACTGTGTGAAGCAGCCACAGCCATGGCACTGAGTGCATAAGTCCAGCTGGAAACTTCCAAGGTTTCTGTCTGATCGGGTCATGTGGGATTGGTTTAAGGATGCTCAAGGGGAAAGCCGGGGGGTTACCCTCAGATCAGAGGCTTTTTCGATGCTCGCTGAAATATGTAATTCTGGGGGTCATCTGGGATTCATTTCAGTATGGATCAAGTTTCAAACAGGTATATAGATTCCAGGGGCAAATTCAATTCCCCAGATTGACGTACACCAATATTGGACAGTTCTTGCTACACCTGAGGAAAGCCATGTGGACATCTCTCGACGATCCTGCCTTGACGTTCAGGTCTCAGGGATGGTATTAGAATACCCCAATTACAAGAGGAAAACTCACCGGAATGAGGTCAAAAGCACCAATTTCCACCCCTTTGTGGGAATCATTAATCTATAATTTGTTGGAGCAGCCAATGGTATCTTGTCTTTTTTTTTGCAAGGTTTCTAGACATGGCCCAAAGCTTGTGGCATTATCAATCAGTCAAATCTTAGACAGGTTGACGATCGAATCTGCCCGAACGTCTCCGGAACCAAAGAAAACAAACTCGCCTTTCAAATCTGTGGCTGCAGCATGCTGGAACCAGCCTAATTTCCTGACCCACCAAGAGCTGAGCCTTGTGCCTGATCCTAGCACTGTCATGGACCCTGGGTTGTCAAGGCAAGCCTGTAAGCACTGAAGAATCTGGAGGTGGCTATGGCCAACTTCCTTCCCAATCGCCTCCTCTCACTTGGGGAATCATCCGATCTACGGTGAATTTGGGTTCGCTTATACTGAATATATATATATATATATATATCACTATCTGGCAGACTACCACCATCGACCAACAGGTTACATGGACTTGGGCGGGCCAATACTTTTCCAGATGTTGTCATTTTCCAAAGAATAGCGTCCCATACTTGGGTGCCCACTTTTGACCAACACCCAGACTGCGCCAAAGATCCGATGATTATCAAAATGCTACTGACATGATAAGCCAATTCGAATTTCCACCCCAGATGAATGAACGCGTTATTATGTTTGATTGATTGGTTCGGAGGGTACTTGCAGACATGATTATTTGCGCTTCAAAATGGTAATCATAATTTTACTGTAAAATCCCCATTTCGTTCGTCAGAAGTCTCCATTTTTGCTGCCGAAATTCCAATGTCATCCCCGATTCATCCTTTGATTACCTATAGGTTCCCCATAACTTTACTCCTCGAAAAAGTGACCAGTCAATGTGCACAAAAAAATGCTCTCCCCAGGCTTTTTCCAGGGGAGTTAGCCTCCAAAGTTGACAGATGGTCCTTTTCCACCGCCTGAGGCGGCCTCTGGTCCCTTCCTGCGTGCCGCGATGCCGACTTCGCCCCGGCTCCGCCGTGGATCAGCGGTCATCGGACATGAAGAAGGCCGATCTGGTGAAACGAACTGCGAAGATTTTCGGTGGATGGTGTGATGGTCGTGGAGAATGACGTGGGAGAACTGCGGAAGATGGGGCAAAACAATGATTTACCCTCTGGTAAACTAACATAACTATGGAAAATCACCATGTTTAATGGGAAAATCAACTATAAATGGCCATTTTCAATAGCTATGTTAAATTACCAGAGGGTAACATGATTTCACATGATTTAAGCCTTGAAAATGAGGAACTATAAAAGCTGCCTCTGGACATTCATCTTGTCCAAGTTGTGTTTCGAAGCAAAAAGAGGAGGACCTCATATCACCTCAAGAAACAAATATGGAAAGATCATCAACAAAATTGGGGGGCGTATGAATCAAGTTGTACTTCTCTCCTTCTACAGCATATAGACTCATCGTTCACTTGGAAATTTAAAGCGGATGACCATACACCATTCAAAGTTTGAAGCGAGCATAACTTGTGCGTCAGCCCGGTCCGTCCACTTAATCATTTATCAGTGGCTGCCCACCTTCTTTTTGACGTCATGTGGCAAATTCAGATTGGACCTACGAAATCCTCATTCCAATTCGTGAAAAAGCCATTCGTTGGTCCATCGTGATGTGTGTGTGTGTGTAGGTGCTGAACACCGGTGTTTTTTTTTCTCTTGGTCAAACTCACTGTTCTTGGGGAATTCAGAAATGCAAACCATTGCTGGATCAGTTTTGTTTGGTGAATATCCGCATGTGCTTCGTCAGAACTGCGTTCCTGTTGGCTCAGTCCCCCGTATGCCCGCGACCAAATATCATTTGGCCGTCGAAAACAAACCTATGTCTGGTCAAAACTCGCAAACTACCCTCTGGTAAACTAACATAGCTATGGAAAATCACTATTTTAATGGGTAAATCCACGATTTCGATTGGGCCATTTTCAATAGCAAACTGTAACAGATTACCAGGCCGGGTACCCTCCGGTAATCATCGAACCACGGCTGGATAATCCACCCAGCCATGTTTGGTTTGTTTCCGAGAGCACAACCCGGCCAGGACCAAGGTGCCTTCCAGATGGCTTCAAGAGTATTTAATCACTCCAATAACTATGGTTTATAGGTGATATATCTATACTTAATGGGATTATAAACCAACTTATAATCATGACATATCATGACCCAAAGACTCACAGACCTTGGTTAATTATTTCCCGCACCAGACGTTCGCCCATGCTCACATAATCTCCGTTTTTGCCACGGGTTTAACACTTCTCTCATCCAAATCCATAGGGATTCCCCCCCCCATTTTTCCATCATGTTTACCATTGGTTCCATAGTGTCGCATTTTTCCCACGATGTACCCTATGTTCAATCAATTCCATCATTACAGAAGGATCTAAATCTGCCACCCCCTCCAACCAATACGTATAAAACCCAGGATCCAGGAGAACCAGAAATTTATGCCAAGAATCCTTCCACGACTTCGTGGGGGTCTGTTGAAAACTCGGGTCGGTTTACCCGAAAAAACATAAACTCCGGGCAAACGTCCGGATCTGTGCGAATTATTTTATGGGCATGTTGAATGCATTTTGTATTTTTAAGCAACTGTCCAATTCTCGAGGCCCCAATTTTCACATCCCCATTTCGTTTGTTCAAATTTCATCCATTTTTGGGTATCCAATAGCTCAGGAATTGCCAACCAAAATTGATTGTGGCACGGACCAGCTAGACCAGAAAAAGCGAGAGCCAGGCTCTGAATTTCGCTCGGTCGATTCGACATAGTTAACAGATGGAGCAAGTGAGCCGGGGCCAGCGGGCCATTCCGAAAATGTGACGACGAAGTGACGCTGTCCATGATACCCTGGTGTTTTCGCCTCTAAAATTGAGAAAGAACATTGTTTTGGGAATGTTTGGGAGATTAAATTACCATTTTTCTCAATTTTTGTGGTCGTTTCTCATATGTTTTTCATTCGGCTTCTTGCGCCAAGGTCGCTCTGCGTGCCAGCCGCACCTCGATCAGATGAGTTTTTGGGAGGTTCACAAATGAAAACACGCAATGTGAGTATCATGGGAATATTGTGGGAATATCATAGTTGTTTTAAAACCTCAGACGGTGGTATACGGTATACCCGCAAGTATCCATTGTAACACATTATGTCAAACCGATCTTAAGGATTCCCTAATTTCAATCAAACCCATATTAGAGCCAACAATTTATGCAAATCCAGGTCGGATGGAAAGTGTGTGCCTCTTTGTAGGCCAAAAACATCGTGTCCTACGTTCTTGGCCATCTTTTTCTGGTTGGTGGTTTCAACCCCTCTGAAAAATATGAGTTCGTCAGGTGGGATGATGACATTCCCAATATATGGAAAAATAAAAAATGTCCCAAACCACCAACGAGTTTTGTAGGTTTTTTCTATGCTTTTGTTGGATAATGCTGCTACAAAAATTGACATTGACCGATGGTGGGGATCGTGGGAGCGGCGAACGCATCAGGATTCGGCAGAGCAAGACCTGGGAGCTGAAAGCAGTATCTGTGGGTCATGTTGCTGGTTACCCTCTGGTAATTTGTTACATAGCTATTGAAAATGACCATTGAAATAGCTCATTTTCCCATTAAAAATGGTGGATCTTTCCATAGTTATGTTAGTTTACCAGAGGGTACTGCTGATTTATATTCCTGCTACTAGCTCTGTGTGGTAAACTCTATCACGCAACTACAACGGCAAATGTGAACGTATACTGCTTGAGGCAAGAAGACCCCGCTGTTTGGTTCCTTGCAATAGTCTAAACTGGGTGAGTGTCCATGTCCTGGTGTTTTGTACCTGAAAAGTCAGGGGGCAACAAAAGAAATGATGGTTGATTAATGTTATTTTCCCTATGAAAATAGCGTAAAATAGCGATGTTTGATATTCGTTTCTCCCTTTTCGGACTTGTTTGACACCTGGGGCCCCATAGTCCCCATAGTTGGCGAAGTTGGTTTATAAGTTCAATAACTAGGGTTAATTAGGGGGATATAACATGATATAACTCTAAACTATAGCTGAAGGGAATTATAAACAAACTTATAACTGGGCACGATCCTGTATTCTGAAGATGTGAATCTCACATGTGCAATGCAAAGTGTCGGTAGAAAACAGGACTCATGATACTCATGGGCAAGAATCATGTTCTACTTCCAAGTTCTCTACACGATCTTCCGTAGTCGTCCTGGGAATGAAACACAAAACATCAATGGATGGTCCACCGCAGCAGGAATCGCTTCATTTTACAACCAAAAACCACCATTTTTCGCATTTCCCAGCAATGTTTGCTGGCTACCAGACTGTCCCCCCCCCAAGGTCCACGGTGAACCACCGGCCTAGTCAATTGGGATGTTACGCTCTTCCCGGGTGACCGCCTGCGATCAGGTAGGGGGGAGATGAGGTTGCCCATGAACCTGTTCTAGTTGATCCAGATATAATCCAAAACTTGGGATTTTCCAGTTGTAATCCATCTATAACTTGAGATTTTCCACTATAATCCATATGAAACTGGATATTTCATTGTCCAGATAGCATAACCGTAACGAAGCAACAACCAAGGCCCGCTCACATTGCCATGGCAGCACCTTCAAGCGGAGCACCACACGTCGGACGCGTTCGGACACCTGGCCCGAGACATAGATGATGATGGGTCAAAATTTACCCTAGGGTGTGAATGGTTATTCCCCGAAAATCCTCTAAATAGAGGAATTGTGAAGGGGTTTATAATCCCTATAATCCCTTATAATCCCCTATATTCCCCTTAACCTGTCCCTTTCAATTGTGAAGGCTTCGTAGCTTGGCATCGTAGCTGCGCCTTGCTGGTCTGCTCCTCAGGTGGCGACGCTTCGTCGATCCAAAGCTGAAGCCAATTTTGCACCTGGCGCGGCAGGGTTTCCCCGCGGCACGTTAAGGTCTTAGGACGTGGGATGAGAGAAAACTCGGGGAAAACTGGGACCACAACAATTTTTCCACAACACAATTTTTTGGAGGGAATCCACGCCATGGTTTTATAATTCCAGAATGATTCATTGATGATCCATTCTGGTCTGGTTTAAAAAGAGTTTCCAAACTCTATTGATGAACTCATCGAAAAATTTTGTGTCTCGGAATTTCATCTCGGATTTCATCCGATAACACCCTGAGAATTTACACATCACATAACTATGGTCTATGGAAAATCACAAGGTGTAATAGGTAAACTGCCCATGTTCAATCATGTTTCATAGCTATGTTTGCCGGAGGCTAAGCTCGAAGTAATCCTAGCAATAGAAAATCCACCAGGTGAGGAAATTGGTCGTCCTAGAGGACCAGGAACGGGAGGGCGCTCGTTCTAAATTCAACATGGAACCTCCACAAAACCGCAAAAGTAAAACACTGCTGGACAAAAACAATTGCAAAGTTTCAGGTTCCACTGGTTTTTGTCCCAGAAATCGAGAGTTGCACTGGCAACCCCATATCGGCGGTAAATCCAAGCGTCTCCGCCACAAAAAAACATCGCTTTCCCCATGAGATATCCCCCATGATTGATCATTCCACCCAATCCAAATGCATATCTCTGGGTAAATTATAATAATTCACAAACCTGAAATGTTGGGCAATTTGGGGACGATTTCCCCTTATTAAACCATGATTTCAGTGAGGGAGACCAGTGAGGTCGTTATAATTTACCTAGATATATATATATATATATACATATATATATATAATCATCCTGGAGTAGATAGAATATCGGACATTTTCAAAAATGATTTTCAAAAATAACAATAAATAGCTGGAATATGTTCGAAACCCTCAGTTTTTACACGTTTTTCGTCTTTGTTAAGTCATTTTTAGCCAGTTTTGGACACGGGTCTGGAGAAATTTTGAAAAATACAAAAATCAAACAACACCAAAAAGTAGATAGAATATTGTTTCAAACCAGGTAGATAGAATATTTTGAGGGAATTGTGAACACCACGCGCAGACCCCACAGCAGCTTAAGACCCCGCAAACCATATTCCAACTACCAGTTTTCGACCTCCCCCGAAATATTCCAACTACCTATTTATTTTTAAGTGGCCGACATCCAACATAATTCCAACATAAATCCCGCACCCTCCAAAAAAATATTCTATCTACTTTAGGATGACTATATATATATATATACACATGGGTTTTTCATGGTTTTTCCAGAAATAGATTGCCCCAAATCCCACGCTTGATCACCATGTTCCCCACCAAAGCTGCCATCTTGGGCAGAATACCCCATGAGACACAGCCACAATATCATAGGTTAAGGGATCACTTAGAGCACCGGAAAGTGGATCACTTAGAGCACCAGATCACTTAGAGCACCATGGGATCACTTAGAGCACCAAAGAATCATACCTTTAGGGTAACACTTGGGGACACGGGGCTGGGACATGGGGTCAGGCACAGCAACCTCATCATCTTTCTTGCTGTCCTGCAGACACAGGCACTGCACTGCTCTTTCATGATCGGTTACCGGTGGGGTGGGGTGGGGTGGAGTAATAACGTTCATGTTCCTGTGCAGATACAGGCACAGCAACCTCGTCATCTTTCTTGCTGTCCTGCAGACGCAGGCACTGCACTGCTCTTTCATGATCAGTTACCCGTGGGGTGGGGTGGGGTGGGGTGGGGTGGGGTAAGAACGTTCATGTTCCTGTGCGCACACAGGCACAGCAACCTCATCATCTTTCTTGCTGTCCTGCAGACACAGGCACTGCACTGCTCTTTCATGATCAGTTACCCCACGGGGGTGGGGTGGGTAATAACCTTCATGTTCCTGTGCACACACAGGCAAGACATTCCTGCTACGTCGTAACATCTTCGTCAAGTAACATGCAAGACGTGCCTGCTACGTTGTAACATCTTCGTCAAGTAACTTGCAAGATGTTCCTGATACGTCGTAACATCTTCTTCAAGTAACTTGCTAGATGTTCCTGATACGTTGGAACATCTTCTTCAAGTAACTTGCAAGACCTCCCTGATACGTTGAAAACTCTTCTTCAAGTAACATGCCAGCTGTTCCCGATACGTTGTAACATCTTCGTCAAGTAACTTGCAAGACGTTCCTGATACGTTTCTTCGTCAAGTAATGCCGAAAAGCGGATCGCATCGAATGTTATCGCGTGATTCAGCCACAGATGAATGCATCCATTTATGTGTCTATATGCCTCTGCGCATATGTGGAACTCTAGCGCTATGATGCGCTATGTATCTCTTATGTCACTTTTCGGCGTTCCAAGCGATCCACTTTCCGGCGCTCTAAGCGATCCACTTTTCGGCGCTCCAAGCGAACCCCCGACCAAAAATCATATCTAGTTGGTGATTTGTCTCACTATATATTCCCATTATATCCCACTAAGGTACCCATCACATTATTTTAATATATTTATATATATATATACAAGTACATACTATATGTGTATATGTGTATACATATATATATATATATATTGTGTATAAACGTCCCGAATGGGCACATTGCGGTGGGTTTTCCTTCGCTTCGGCCCAACTGGGTGCCCAAAACGTTGATGCCCAGGTGATGCGCCAAATTGTCCAGCTGAGGCCGGGGATTTCTTTGGAGCCAAAACAATGGATGGATAGATTCCCAGAGTTACTGTGGCTGTAAATGGGAAGAGTATCTGTGATAATTGGGATATGATAAATGTATATAAATGTTATATGGATATATGATGATATATATGATATCTGGATAATTGGGATAGCTACTGACTGGATATAGTTGGATAAAATGGATGGATAACTGGCTGCATATGGGGAGAATATGTTGCTATTATGTATATATATATATATAATGGACCCCGCCCACATAGAATATAGAATTGAAATTTTGGCTTCCCAGGGCATCCCCATAATTGAACTTGAAAACATTTACTTAGAATACAGTTGACGTCAAAAAACCTATACTTAGAATATCGTTGGGCCATATAAATTCTTTCACTTTTCCAGACGAATTCGTCATTTTTCCATAGAAATTCGTCACTTTTCTTTATAAATCCTTCACGTTTCCATACAAATACAAACTCTTCACTTTTCCATATTTTTGCCATACAAATTCTTTCACTTGTTCAGTCAAATTGATCATTTTTCCATGTATTTATGTATATATATTTTTTTTTTAAAGAAATCCTTCGCATTTCTATACAAATTCTTCACTTTTCCATTTTTTTCATACGAATTCTTCCCTTCGGTGAGCCTGAAAAAATCATTTTTTTAATACAATATGAAAAGAAATTGATCATTTCGGGGCACCTTTTTTTGTTTGTTAAAACGTTCTAGTTTACGGACTTCAGACATCCAGGGGTGCTTCTCCCCAAAGGGAATTACGTATATGATATATTATATTGATATATACCCTTATACTTTTACATGAAAGATACCCCATTCCTTGCAGAACTACATACATAGAATATAGGTCCCCAATGAAAATAGTTAACCATTCCTTTGGGAACAACAACTAATTCCAGTAGTTTTCATTGCAAACTATTTTTTTTCCATTGTTCTCCGACACCGTTCGTGGGGGGTACCCTTCGGTGAGCTTGAAAATCTCATTTTTTTAATTCAATATTAAAAAAAAATGATCATTTCGGGGGACCTGTTTTTTTGTTGAAACGTTCCAGTTTGGGAACTTCAGATATCCAGGATTGCTGCTACCCAAAGGGAATTACGTATATAATAATTATACATGAAGGGGACCCTATTGCTTGCAAAACTACATACATAGAATATAGGTTTCCAGTGAAAAATATTCATCATTTTTTGAAGGAATGCCACCTAAGTCCATTAGTTTTCATTGCAAACTAGTTTTTTATTTTTTTTTCATAGTTCTCCGACACCGGTCGTGGGGGGTACCCTTCGGTGAGTTTGAAAAACTCATTTTTTTAATACAATATGAAAAGAAATTGATCATTTCGGGGGAGCTGTTTTTTGTTGAAACGTTCTAGTTCACGGACTTCAGACATCAAAAATTGCTGCTCCCCAAAGGGAATTACGTATATAATAATCATACATGAAGGGGACCCTATTCCTTGCAGAACTACATACATAGAGAATAGGTCCCCAGTGAAAATATTCATCATTTTTCTAAGGAATGCCACCTAAGTCCATTGGTTTTCATTGCAAAATAGTTTTTTATTTTTTTTCATAGTTCTCCGACACCGTTCGTGGGGGGTACCCTTCGGTGAGCTTGAAAAACTCATTTTTTTAATACAATATGAAAAGAAATTGATCATTTCGGGGGACCTGTTTTTTTGTTGAAACGTTCCAGTTTAGGAACTTCAGACATCCAGTATTGCTGCTCCCCAAAGGGAATTACGTATTTAATAATTATACATGAAGGGGACCCTATTCCTTGCAGAACTACATACATAGAAAATAGGTCCCCAGTGAAAATATTCATCATTTTTTAAAAGGAATGCCACCTAAGTCCATTGGTTTTCATTGCAACATATTTTTTCATAGTTCTACGACGCCGGTCGTGGGGGGTACCCTTCGGTGAGCTTGAACAGATCATTTCTTTAACGCAATATAAAAAGACATTGATCATTTCGGGGGACCTGTTTTTTTGTTGAAACGTTCTATTTTAGGAACTTCAGACATCCAGGGTTGCTACTCCCCAAACGGAATTACGTATATCATATACACCCTTTTGAGTGGAAGAGATAAAATTCCTTTCAGAACTACATACATAGAATATAGGTCCCCGGTGAAAATATTCATTCATTTTATTGGCTTTCATTGCAAAAAAATGTGTTTGGTCATAGTTTCCCGACACCGGTCGTGGGGGATACCCTTCGGTGAGCTTGAACAACTCATTTTTTTAATTCAATGTATAAAAAAAAATAATCATTTCGGGGGACCTGTTTTTTGCGGACTTCAGACATCCAGGATTGCTGCTCCCCAAAGGGAATTGTGTATATAATAATCATACATGAAGGGGACCCTATTGCTTGCAAAACTACATACATAAAATATAGGTCCCCAGTGAAAATATTCATCAATTTTTGAAGGAATGCCACCTAAGTCCATTAGTTTTCATTGCAAACTAGTTTTATATTTTTTTTTCATAGTTCTCCGACACCGGTCGTGGGGGGTACCCTTCGGTGAGCTTGAAAAACTCATTTTTTTAATACAATATGAAAAGAAATTGATCATTTCGGGGGACCTGTTTTTTTGTTGAAACGTTCTAGTTTACGGACTTCAGACATCAAAAATTGCTGCTCCCCAAAGGGAATTACGTATATAATAATCATACATGAAGGGGACCCTATTCCTTGCAGAACTACATACATAGAAAATAGGTCCCCAGTGAAAATATTCATCAATTTTTTAAGGAATGCCACCTAAGTCCATTGGTTCTCATTGCAAAATAGTTTTTTATTTTTTTTCATAGTTCTACGACGCCGGTCGTGGGGGGTACCCTTCGTTGAGCTTGAAAAACTATTTTTTGAAATACAATATGAAAAGAAATTGATCATTTCGGGGGACCTGTTTTTTTGTTGAAACGTTCTAGTTTACGGACTTCAGACATCCAGGATTGCTGCTCCCCAAAGGGAATTACGTATATAATAATCATACATGAAGTGGGCCCTATTCCTTGCAGAACTACATACATAGAAAATAGGTCCCCAGTGAAAATATTCATCCATTTTTTCAGGAACACCACCTAATTCCATTAGTTTTCATTGCAAAATAGTTCTTTTCTCATAGTTCTCGGACACCGGTCGTAGGTAGGTACCCTTCGGTGAGCTTGAAAAACTCATTTTTTTTAAATACAATATGAAAAGAAATTGATCATTTCGGGGGACCTGTTTTTTTGTTGAAACGTTCTAGTTTACGGACTTCAGACATCCAGGATTGCTGCTCCCCAAAGGGAATTACGTATATAATAATCATTACATGAAGTGGGCCCTATTCCTTGCAGAACTACATACATAGAAAATAGGTCCCCAGTGAAAATGTTCATCCATTTTTTAGGAACACCACCTAATTCCATTAGTTTTCATTGCAAAAAGTTTTTTTCATAGTTCTCGGACACCGGTCGTGAGGGTAGGTACCCTTCGGTGAGCTTGAAAAACTCATTTTTTTAATACAATATGAAAAGAAATTGATCATTTCGGGGGAGCTGTTTTTTTGTTGAAACGTTCTAGTTTACGGACTTCAGACATCCAGGATTGCTGCTCCCCAAAGGGAATTCCGTATATAATACTCATACATGAAGGGGACCCTATTGCTTGCAGAACTACATACATAGAAAATAGGTCCCCAGTGAAAATATTCATCAATTTTTTAAGGAATGCCACCTAAGTCCATTGGTTTTCATTGCAACATATTTTTTCATAGTTCTACGACGCCGGTCGTGGGGGGTACCCTTCGGTGAGCTTGAACAGATCATTTCTTTAACGCAATATAAAAAGACATTGATCATTTCGGGGGACCTGTTTTTTTGTTGAAACGTTCTATTTTAGGAACTTCAGACATCCAGGGTTGCTACTCCCCAAACGGAATTACGTATATCATATACACCCTTTTGAGTGGAAGAGATAAAATTCCTTTCAGAACTACATACATAGAATATAGGTCCCCGGTGAAAATATTCATTCATTTTATTGGCTTTCATTGCAAAAAAATGTGTTTGGTCATAGTTTCCCGACACCGGTCGTGGGGGATACCCTTCGGTGAGCTTGAACAACTCATTTTTTTAATTCAATGTATAAAAAAAAATAATCATTTCGGGGGACCTGTTTTTTGCGGACTTCAGACATCCAGGATTGCTGCTCCCCAAAGGGAATTGTGTATATAATAATCATACATGAAGGGGACCCTATTGCTTGCAAAACTACATACATAAAATATAGGTCCCCAGTGAAAATATTCATCAATTTTTGAAGGAATGCCACCTAAGTCCATTAGTTTTCATTGCAAACTAGTTTTATATTTTTTTTTCATAGTTCTCCGACACCGGTCGTGGGGGGTACCCTTCGGTGAGCTTGAAAAACTCATTTTTTTAATACAATATGAAAAGAAATTGATCATTTCGGGGGACCTGTTTTTTTGTTGAAACGTTCTAGTTTACGGACTTCAGACATCAAAAATTGCTGCTCCCCAAAGGGAATTACGTATATAATAATCATACATGAAGGGGACCCTATTCCTTGCAGAACTACATACATAGAAAATAGGTCCCCAGTGAAAATATTCATCAATTTTTTAAGGAATGCCACCTAAGTCCATTGGTTCTCATTGCAAAATAGTTTTTTATTTTTTTTCATAGTTCTACGACGCCGGTCGTGGGGGGTACCCTTCGTTGAGCTTGAAAAACTATTTTTTGAAATACAATATGAAAAGAAATTGATCATTTCGGGGGACCTGTTTTTTTGTTGAAACGTTCTAGTTTACGGACTTCAGACATCCAGGATTGCTGCTCCCCAAAGGGAATTACGTATATAATAATCATACATGAAGTGGGCCCTATTCCTTGCAGAACTACATACATAGAAAATAGGTCCCCAGTGAAAATATTCATCCATTTTTTCAGGAACACCACCTAATTCCATTAGTTTTCATTGCAAAATAGTTCTTTTCTCATAGTTCTCGGACACCGGTTGTAGGTACCCTTCGGTGAGCTTGAAAAACTCATTTTTTTAAATACAATATGAAAGGAAATTGATCATTTCGGGGGACCTGTTTTTTTGTTGAAACGTTCTAGTTTACGGACTTCAGACATCCAGGATTGCTGCTCCCCAAAGGGAATTACGTATATAATAATCATACATGAAGTGGGCCCTATTCCTTGCAGAACTACATACATAGAAAATAGGTCCCCAGTGAAAATGTTCATCCATTTTTTCAGGAACACCACCTAATTCCATTAGTTTTCATTGCAAACTAGTTCTTTTCTCATAGTTCTCGGACACCGGTCGTAGAGGGTAGGTACCCTTCGGTGAGCTTGAAAAACTCATTATTTTTAATACAATATGAAAAGAAATTGATCATTTCGGGGGAGCTGTTTTTTTGTTGAAACGTTCTAGTTTACGGACTTCAGACATCCAGGATTGCTGCTCCCCAAAGGGAATTCCGTATATAATACTCATACATGAAGGGGACCCTATTCCTTGCAAAACTACATACATAGAAAATAGGTCCCCAGTGAAAATATTCATCATATTTTGAAGGAATGCCACCTAAGTCCATTGGTTTTCATTGCAAAATACTTTTTTTCATAGTTCTCCGACACCGTTCGTGGGGGGTACCCTTCGTTGAGCTTGAAAAACTATTTTTTTTAATACAATATGAAAAGAAATTGATCATTTCGGGGGACCTGTTTTTTTGTTGAAACGTTCCAGTTGAGGAACTTCAGACATCCAGGATTGCTGCTCCCCAAAGGGAATTATGTATATGATAATTATATAACCTCATACATGGAAAAGATCAAATTCCTTGCAGAACTATATACATAGAATATAGGTCCCCAGTGAAAATATTCATCCATTTTTTCAGGAACACAACCTAATTCCATTAGTTTTCATTGCAAAATAGTTCTTTTCTCATAGTTCTCGGACACCGGTCAAGGTGGGTACCTTTAGGTGAGCTTGAACAATTTCAAAAATGATTTTTATGGTGTTTTGGTGGATTTTAGTGGGGTGAAAAAAATGAAACATGACCATTTATGTTCATTTATGTTGCGGTATGGGTGATATGTTGATAATTCAAAGGATTTTAGTGGGATGACAATTTGAAAAATGACCATGTATGTCCATTTATGCTGCAATATGGGTGATATTTTGATAATTCAAACGAAAATTAGTGGGGTGAAAAATTGAAAAATATCCATTTATGCCCATTTATGCTGCAGTATGGGTGATATGTTGATAATTCAAATGGGGAGAAAACACATGAGCACGAAATGGGGGCATATTCTAAGTGGAGTTACGGTCGAGTTCAACTGCATAATTGGAAAAACGGATATTCTAAGATAACGGGGTAGATTATATATATATATACATACATACAGGCATTAATGAAATATCAATTATATGATATAATATGATTATCCCACATATGGTGGGTTTCTTGAAAATGAAGGATCCCCAAGTCACCATGGGGTGAAAAATTTCTTCGGTCTAATGACTTGGATGACTTTGGGGTGACCCAAAGTCGGGGAACGATCTCTTGTCCAATAATTGGATTGGATATATTTCTGGTTAGTGGTTTTCACCATCTTGAAAAATATTAGCCAATGGGAAGGATTATCCCATATATTACGGAAAAATAAAATTCATGTTCCAAACCACCAACCAAATATATTTGGGAGGGCTTATATAGTATCCGAAAGTGACAATGCACGGGTGAAAAAACATGTAAGGAGCCGGGTTGAATGTGCTTTTTTCAAATTGGTGGGAAAAAAAAAAACACACAGATGACATCTCACTGGATATCATGGGAAATCCACATGAAATGCGGGGTGGTTGAGAGGTGGCCCTGAAGTACAACACTCCCTAATAAACCAGGTAGCATAGCACCCTATGCTAACGAGTCAATTGCCATGTTGGTCACTGCTCACTTATGTCACAGGGGAATGACATATTATTCAAATTTAATGTATGATGATGGAAACACAAATATTGGGACCTTAATCCCGTTGTGTGGGGGGGAACTGTGTCATACTTAATATGGGTAATATGGGGTAAAACCTATCTCTAGATACACATCGTTTATGGGGGTTGCTAGGTTCTCCAAGATTTACTCTTAGAATTGGTGCCAAATGTGTAACTATAATGGGTGGTTTTAGTCTGGGAGAGGAAACCTACCAACATCTGGGGAAGTTTGGGGATCGATGGCGGCTCCATGGAGGGTATGGGAAAGTGTCCGAATTTCTGGCAGGGGGTCCCCTTAGATACAGTAATTTTGGTAGACAATCATGTGGTTGGTTCAACCACCAATTCTATCTGATCATAGTCAGTGCCGTCTTCTGGCTCCTGTCCGCGAAATGACGCTCAACAAACTTTCAGGAATCCATGAACTTTGAAAAACGCAGCAAAGTTTTTGCCACAGCGTGGAAAGCACCAGAGGCTAGCAGTTGGTTGTAGCTGATTGCTGTGGGGTTGCTGGGATCAGCGAGGATTTGCCCCCAAAAAAACACACCAAGGTGGTTTCGGCCCAGAAGCCCCCAAGGGGACCATCCTACGTTCCAAAAACAGACGGTTTTTTGGAATTTGAAACCACCAAGAACTATCCAACTTAACACCATTTTCACCACAATTTGCAATTCTATTCACCAGAAAAAAAAGAGCTTTGCCTTGGTCCCTTCCCCCGAGCCCTCCAGAAACCCCTGGCTTTCCGGAGGTGCCAGGCCTGTGGGAAGATATTACAGATGGATTCGGCCATCGGACATATGACAAACTCAATGAAACCGACCTGATAGCGCCCACGCGACCGAGACGCTACCGGAGACTTGGCGCTAGCTTCATGCTCGAAGTGATGATCACTATCAACTCATTGGAGTCCACATGGCCAACATTTGGGTCACAAACTTTGGGGGAAAACATCACTGGAATCACCACCAAAGCACCTGGAAAACCCCGCCGCGCGCCTGCGAGTTGGGCCTATTCACCTTCTCTCGGTCGTTCAACACTTGCACCGGGATGCCTCGCTCTTTCTCCACATCGCCCTGTCGGACACGGCGATGGACAACGGGGAGGACGTTTCGGGACAACGGGGACGATGTGGTTACCCTCTGGTAAACTAACATAACTATGGAAAATCACCATTTTCAATGGGAAAACCCACTATAAATCACCGTTTTCAATAACTATGTTAGTTTACCAGAGGGTATGTTCATCACCAGGTCACCCAGGTCACCCACATTGCACCAGGTCGCCTGCGCGAAGAATTCATCCAGACACAGGTGCGCCAATTCATAACAAAGATCCCAGGGCCTCACGGTTCGACGTTTTTTCGGGGATGGGGTGAAGCCCATCGAAGTTGGGGAAAACATCCAACAGAAACTGCTTGGTGAAATGGGTGCCCTTTTTCACTTTGGGTTCGGCTGAAAAAGTAGTTCACTCAAATGCTCCTTTTTGGGGGATACCCTGGGGTAAACTAACATAAATGTTCCACTGGGTGACGGATCAACAAAAAATAAATAAGGCATAAACAAAAACCTGGAATTCGTTGTTTTCTATGGCCCTAGCAACAGTTTGGAGACAAAACCGACCATTTCTGTGGTATTTGCATCGTTTTGGAAGTGGAGGGAGAACACTTTTGAGTTCGAATTTTTGATTTTCGATGGTTGCTTTGAAACGTACGTTGGTTTAAAGTTTGTTTATGTTTGGTTTGGGGTTGATTTAGGCTTGGTTTGATGCCTATTACGTTGACTTAGGTTGGTTTAGGGTTAGTTTAGGGTTGGCCTATGGTTTCCTCGGTGTCTATTCAGGGTTGGTAAAAGGTTGTTTTAGGTTTAGTTCAAATATTTTTCAAATTATCTAAAGTTTTTTGGTGTTTATGTAGGGTTGGTTTAGGGTTTATTTTGATTTCGTTCAAGACTTTGTGCTTTAGGTTTCGTTTGGGATCTATTGAGGGTTGGTTGTTTGTTTATTTGGGTTTGGTTTAGGATTTGTTTAGGGTATATTTAGGGTTGGTTTTAGGGTTTGTTTAGGGTTGGTATTAAGATTTGTGTAGGTGCTGCTCAAAGTTTATTTAGGGTTGATTCAGGATGTATTTGGGATTGGTTCGTGGTTGGTTTAGGTGTTATTTTGGGTTGGTTCAGGGTTTCTTTATGGTTGGCTTAGGGGTTATTTTGGGTTTGTTTAAAGTGTATGTGGGTCTTGTGTCCGGTGTCTTTAAGGTTGGTTTAGTTATTTATTTCTGGTTGGTTCAGGGTTGGTTTAGGATTTTTTTAGGGTTGGTTTGTGGTTTATTTGGGTTTGCTTAGGAATTATTTAGGGTTTATTTACGGTTGGTTTATGGTTTGTTTGGGGTGGCTTAGCGTTTATTTGGGGTTGGTTTAGGGGGTTTTAAATTGATTTTCGTTTCGCTTACAACTTATTTTAGGTTCGTTTAGGTTTCGTTTAGGGTTTATGTAAGATTTGTTTAGGGTTTATTTAGGGTTAGTTTAAGGCTGATTGAGGGTTGGTTTAGGATTCGTCTTACTTTGGCTTGGGGGGTAGTTTAGGGGTTATTGAGGCTGATTTAGGTTTTTTTTACGGCTGGTTGACTTAAGGATTATCTTCAAAATGTTTTAAGGCACCAGAGCCACCAAAGGACGGAAGGACCAAGGGACCAGAAGACCAGAGGACCAAGGGACCGGAGGACCAAGGGATGAGAGGACGAAGGGACCAAAGGACCAAGGGACCAAAGGACCAAGGGACCAGGGGACCAAGGGAGAGGACTGAAGGACCGGGAGATTCAAAGACCACAAGATTTGAAAATGGCATAAAAGGGCCAAGACACTGCACCAGCGCGGGAAAAATGACTATTTTTTTTTGATCCCCTAAACATTTTTTTATTGATGCCTTAAATATTTATGTTTTGATGCCTTAAATATGTTGTTTGAACCCCATGCCTTCCAAAGCCATGGTGTGCCTAAGAAAATGATCTACATTCAGGCTGGGTTAACCCCACATCTATGTAGAAATCTACAGGAGGGAAAAGTCACAGCCATCATCACCCGCTGAGTGCACCGAACTTCATCGGATTTCCAATATCTGCGCAGTGCAACAGCGCATTCCTTGGTGAAAAACCCCTCATTGACTTGGATCTTAACCATCCAAGTGACCAATTACGCTGGGTTAGGCATTATGTAGCCATCATTGTTATTCTTACCGGTACCATCATGAAATTATTATCGTTTATGAGTGTGATTCTCATGTATCATGCATTGTTGCTATCGTTATTGTGACTTTTATCATCATCATCATCATCACCATCATCATCATCATCATCACCACCATCATCATCAGTATCAATATGACTTCTCATCTAGTGTATCATCGACTGTTCATTATTGTTGTTTTATTGTTTTTGTTATTAGCATTAATATGATTAATCAATTAGCACGATTGTCAATTACTATAAACTATCATTGTTGTTGCTATTATTGATTATTATATATTACCATTTATCTGGGTAAATTATAATAATTCACTAACCTGAATTGTTGGGCCATTTGGGGATGATTTCCCTTACTAACCTTAATTAAGGTCGTTATAAATTACCCAGATTTATAACATAGCTATGGAAAATCACCATTTTTAATGGGAAAATCCACTATAAATGGTGGATCTTTCCATAGTTATGTAAACGTTTACCAGAGGGTAAACCTCCATTTTCCTATGGGTTTCCCTATGTTTTCCCATGTTCCACCATGATCATATTCACACCCTTGCTTGATCCAAGGGACATCAATGTCTGCGTGGTGGCCGCCGAGCTTTTGACCTGATTTTTTCGCAAAAAAGCCCTGAAGATATTCCAACATGTTCCATGACAATGGATATACACACATATCATGGATGAGGATTTCTATATATTATATCTAATTATATATATATATATGTATATATATATATCCAGCCGGAATGGAATTCCACATCATCAGGATATATGAGAAGTATATTCTTCGACATGGGGGCGACATGGACCGAATCGCTCGGAACGCTCGAGGCTCCAACGACACCGTCGGCTTTCAGAGAATCCAAGGCGTCGGAATTCATCTGATACAACAAACTCAGTTCCTGGATGAGACATGGACCGCCAAGCATAAGCATGGCCGGAGAAATCGAGAATTCAGAACTGGTGAACTCACCTAATTTCGACATCTATGTGATGTTTATATATCTACCATCTTTAGCAAGCTATGTCCAGCTAGCTTTGGGGAGTTGTTTTCTCAGCTCAAGTTTGCTGGATGTCACTTCAGAATGGGAGATCTATCGCGCAGATCAACATATTAAATCATAGAACACACATTGGATATGCGGGGCATTTTGGTGCATCTTCCCTTTTTGGGGGATACCCAATCATCCCAATTTTGACCTGGAATGGCGCTTCACAAAATGAAGATCAAGAATCATCTTGTGGTCTCAAGCCAAATATTGAATATCCCTAGGAATATTGGTATAGTATGGGATCTATTCGTGGGAAGGGTATTTCATAGCTTAGTCTTAGTATAGTATGACATTGATTGAAATTCTATAGTTTGGAGTCCCCAATTCAGATGACATGCCTAGCATTGTGCAGCTTGGCATATGGCAATGGTCAGAAGTTGGGTACCAGAAGAAAAATGGTGAACAGTACAAAAGATATCAAGAAATCATAAAAAAATCTGGTCACCTGGCTCTGAAATATGGACATAGCCAGGTCTGATAGGTGTTTCCATCATTCTCAGGCCTTTGTTTCGAGTCTGAAATATGGTCAGTTCAACTTTCCACTGGTCACGGTGAACTCACGTGCCTTGATCATTTCGTTGTGCTTCACCATGTCCGTGTGCAGAATGGCAGCGATAATTCCTTTTCCTGCAGATTTGTAGATTGAGATTGGGAGATCGCCATTAACCAGCCAACCATCCACTGTTTTCTCTGTCGTTTGGGAAACTCCCAACTGGCTCCCTTCACCGCTCCCTCACTGAGGCCCCAAACGCATTTCTTTGTAGGTGTCCTGACGTCAGAGAGCAACCTGGGAACCTTTCACCGCAGAAGACGTGGCCCTCCAAGGGCTCTAACCCCCAATTTTCCACGTGTTTCTGCCAGTCTAGCATCTCAGCGACTGGGAATGCGTTACGACTTCAATATCAACAACAAGGCGCGGCCTTGTTGGCAACCCCATCATTTCAAAGGTCAACATGTCATATCTCAACGGGTCTCCAAAGATGAACTGGCACATGGCCACTTGCTTAGTTTATGCCAGACTCACTTTTCTGATACTCTCTGGTAATTTAACATAGCTATTGAAAATGACCCATTTATAGTGGATTTACCCATTAAAAATGGTGGATCTTTCCATAGTTATGTTAGTTTACCAGAGGGTAAACCTCCATTCTCCTATGGGTTTCCCTATGTTGCCCGGGATCCACCACAAAAAACTGCTTCATCATCCCCGGCCGGTCATAAAAAACACCACCGTCCCGGTGCCGGAACGCCGGCACCTTATCCACGTTGGAAAAGACGTTGGTGTCTGGGGATGAGTTGGTGATCTGGAACAGCCTCGGTGGAAACAGAGGCATCATTTACATTATAGATGGGTACATTATAATATATATATATACATATTATGTATATATATATATACATATTATGTATATATATATAATATGAATATATATATATATATAATATGAATATATATATATATATATACATTATTGGTAAATTATAATGGTTCACTAAGCTGAAATAAGGAAGATTCGAATAGTTACCCCTAAGCATCATTCCAAGGTGGTGGCCCAGTTCGTTCGCTAAGTTGGTGAACAGAACTAGGCTAAGTTGGCCCATGATCTGTGATATAAACCAACAAACATACCTGGGGGGACACCACCTTGTATATGCAGCAAAACATGCACGTGTACCTATCTGGGTAAATTATAATAATTCACTAACCTGAATTAAGGCCATTTGGGGATGATTTCCCTTACTAACCATGATTCCAGTGAGGTCGCAGTGAGGTCGTTATAAATTACCCAGACCTATACATCTTATTAATTCTTGATATAGATGTATTAGAGCGGTGTCCATAATCCCTCTGGCATTCCATTTTACTTGTTGGTTAAGAACGGGATTCCCCGTTCTTGGATTGTTATAATCCCCAATATATTGGACAGGTTCCAGATGTTAGTGAGTGTATCTCACTTCAATGGCAGAGGACCCTAGGGACCCTAGGCCCTAGTCGTCCCGACCATGGATTTATAATTGGCAATGACCTTACACAAGGTGGTGCCCCAGTTCGTTAGCTAAGTTGGTGCAAATAACTCCAATAACTATGGTTTATGGTAGATATAACTATAGTTAATGGGGTTTATAAAATTTTATAAACCAACTTATAACTGAGGGGCACCACATTGCAGTAGCGATTGGGTTATCTTTTTCACTTATAGCGCCATTAATTTCATCATCGGTTGGCCACCACTGAGTCTCCCCGCATGGCGCAGTGCAAATTTTCTAAGGGCGATCGATCGTTGTACTTCACCGCGACTTCATGCGTCGTTTCCACCAGGAACTGATTGTTGACGCCTGAAATTTCCAAACTTCAACCCAGCTGTGTCTGAAAATAGGCTACAACATGTGATAGTGAACATAATGAGTTTCCCAAAAAAAAACGGCCATTTGGAGGATATCATTTTCAGACACACCCATCCCGTTGAAACAGGGGCCTGGTAGAGTTGGAGAAACCACACTTTTTTTTGCAGCTACATGGAGGTTTGAGGCATTTTCCTGTTGATTCCCCAGTGGATTTCCCTTATTGGGAACATAAATCAGCAAAAAAAATAGGTAAAATGACCCATTTATAGCATTTATAGATGATTTTCACATTGATTCATGATGATCTGGGGATTCATAGCTATGGTAATTGTTCATTTATGGATGACCCATTTATAGATGATTTACCTATGACAAATTGCTGTTTCTGGTGATCCAGCCATCTTCAGCTCCCGTTGTGGCCTAAATGTCCCAAATCATGGCCGCTCGCCGCAATGAGCAGCCAAAACCTGGGTGCAGTCAAGGTCGGCAATGATGGGGTGTTGAGGTCAATAACCAGGAATGATCTGAGATCAAGTAAGTATTCAAAATGTACATACATATCTATAATATAATATATACACATACGAATCGTATATATATATGTAATTTAATATAGGTGTAATTCTATATATATATAATGTAGTTGTACAAACATATAGCTACATATATGTAAATATCTATGTATACAGTCTAGAAAAAAAATACGGGTAACTACATTTAAATATACAGGTTTTTTAGTATACGAACTGGTATTTTAGACTACCTCCGGGAAGGTTTTCCTTGGCCCACCATTTACATATACCGATGGAACTGGTGTTTCATACTGCCTCCGGGGCGTCGCGGTCTCGCGGTCTCGCCCGCCCTCCAGATATTTAAATGTCGTTGCCTCATATTGATATCATGTATGATATATATATATACATATATTATATATATATATCTATACACAATTATAATTATATATATATGTAATTATAAATATATATATATAACAAAAACAAATGAGCATGGTTCAATTCTCAAAAATGCTTGGTTCCAGACGACTTTTCAAAATCAAAACCACAGACCATCCTCGTCAGATCTACCACTCGAACAGTTCCGAACAGTGTCTCAAGCAGCTGGATGAGATTCAGAGGGTTAGATAAGGGTATTTATATATAATATTATATATATATCTTGTGCATTCTTGTGCTATCTTGTATTCACCACAGAAACCAACTGCTTATTTTACGCGCTAAAACCAAGTGTTTTTTGGATCAATTATGTGATGACTTCTGGCGTGGGTCCCAAAGGATCCAAAGCCAATCCCATACCTCTGGTAAACAGCCACGTAACTATGGAAAGATCCACCATTTTTAATGGGAAAATCCACTATTTCGACTGGGCCATTTTCAATAGCAAACTGTTTGTTTACCAGAGGGTAAGTTCAAACAAATGGGAAACTAAGCAATTGAAGACGTGCAGGATTCACGACCCTTCTCTTGATCCAACAAGCATTGCAAATCTCACAGTTCATCGTTGATTCATCGTGAATCATCCCCCCGTGAGTTGATTGTTCATATTAAACAGCCCCATTCCATGGATCCAAAATGGGACTACTACCATATTAGATACAAAATTACCATGGTTTATTAAACAGCCCCAATCCCAAATCTTTGATTTCATCCGCTACCATGGTTTACTGCTCTAGAAATCCGTCTCAGCCGAAGGACTGCGAAGTCTCAGTGAAAGTGGATTGAAGGTTGGCTAATCTGGCAGGGCCACAGGGCGAGTCGAACATGGGAATTTTGCGGCGCCGCTTTGGCCATGTGAAGTTCGGCCGTGAAACAGGCACCTATTCAAAAAATCACCTACCCTCTGGTTATTTAACATAGCCATGGAAAATGACCCATTTATAGATGGTTTACCTATTAAAAATGGTGACTTTCCATGGCTATGTTAAATAACCAGAGGGTATTTCAAAAAATGAATCCACAAATCATAGATTTTGGGGTGGGGGCCAAAATCACTTCCAATTTCTGTCTCCGCTTCCATGTCTTTCCAAGAAAAAGCGGACCCGGCGCCTACAGAAGCGAGAGACGTTGTACAGGACCTCAGGAAAACATCCGGATTTTGGAGGGCACCTTTGTTTTCCTGGCTTTACCGTGGCAGCCAATGTATATTAACCTCTGGTAAACTAACATAGCTATTGAAAATCACCATCTTTAATGGGTAAATGAACTATAAATGACCATTTTCAATAGCTTTGTTAAAATACCAGAAGGTATTCTTTGTCTTTGTTGTTGTTATTATTTTTATTTTTTTGTGGTTGTTGTGGTTGTTGTTGTTGTTGTTGTGGTTGTTGTTGTTCTTGTTCTTGTTCTTGTTCTTGTTCTTGTTCTTGTTGTTGTTGTTGTTGTTGTTGTTGTTGTTGTTGTTGCTGTTGCTATCCTTTCTGGATGCGCCCCAACTATGGAGTAGGACTTTGTAGGTCCCCATTCCCCACCTATTCTTGGCCGACAGCCTGGTGCCATCCAAGTAACGTCCAGGCCGTGAGAAAAGTTGTGGAAGGGATTCTCCGAAGGATACTTCGCCTGGCGATTTGATGCCCCTGTAGCCTTCTCTTCACATGGCCGGAATGGGAGCGGGCGCATATGGGAAACTCATAGTTTCTTCACCCGTCCCCAAAGCTGAAAAATCTGATTCATACCAAAAATTTGAGATATTTGATGGCATTTTTTTTTGGATGATTCCCTGGATATGAACCACTATTTTCAATCGGTCAATTGTCGGTCAAATCTCCCCATGGCGTGCGGCAACCATCACCACCGCTGTCACCGGCCTCGACTGCAGTCATGAATTTGAAGAGCGTATTCTCGGGCACGTTGTCGCGCACCTTACCAGGCCGTTGTTTGATGAGGGACGATGGAGGACTTAGTGGACTATTGCCCCATGATGATTCCTTGATTCCTTAGTAACCCTAGTAGATATCCAATAGTCCATATACACTAATATATGGACACATATGGTCCATATGTGTCCATATATTAGTGTATTATAGTACAGTTGGAATCCTTGGAACTGGCTTTTAGCCTTGCGGATTCATCGTGTGCAGTGGGCCCCCGGCGCCGGTAGGGTTTAGGACATCCCAAATCTGGGCATTTCTTGTGCAAATCATCTAGAACTAAGATGAACTAAGGGATGTTCAATCTTGAGTGCCTGTTTGGCTTCAGAAATGGGGATGGGTCAAAACCCTATCCCCCTGGTGAACATCAAAATAGCTGGTAAATGGATGGTCATCCCCCTAAAAATGGTATGTATAGGTATTGATCCATAGCCAAATGATGAATCTTGATTCTATGATTCCAAAGGGCCAAAGGCCGACTCTGAGGTGCCGCACCCAAGCAAGACAGCCCTCATGTACCCAGACCTCAGAAAAACCGGATCTGCCGCAGATCCGAGCCGGATCCTGCTCCTATCTTTTTAGGCCTAAAGGCAGCCAGGCTGCTGAAGAACGTAAGACACATCAACCATCATGAACCTTTGGAAAATCCAGTGGATGATTATGGGATTTGACCATCAAATGGGGATACTTATGGATGTTAACACACTCCAAAAAAAATAACTATCATGGCTAATGTGGTAAACCTAACAGCAAACCGTATCCAATGACTTGACAGAAATTGGTGCAGTACGCATCGGACCAAATGAGACTGGTTGGGATCAGTGTCACAGGTTTCATCAAATCCTGTGTTTGCCGAAAAAATAAGAATGAACTAACACAAACCGCGGCCAAAATCTCAGCTAGGTATGAATAATATGTTTAATCCCCCTTTGTAGCACATAGGTTCATCTGTCTCAAAAATCCTCCATAAGTGGATTGTGATGATTCTCAAAATCCGGGGTAATCTGGAGTAGTGTTTTGCCCCCGAACTCATAAAACAAACATCATTGATAAGTTTTATATCCACTTAAAAAAGCCCATATGTTCATGATTACCCTCTGGTAAACTAACAATAGCTATGGAAAATGGCCATAGAAATAGTTGATTTACCTATGAAACATGGTGGATCTTTCCATAGCTATGTTAGTTTACCAGAGGGTTTTGCAGCTGCTTTTCAGCCCTATGAAATGACTATCATCAAGCCAGCCATGGGTATCAAATGCAGCCCTGTGGCCACATAGGTCCCGATGGCGATCTTCAACTCAACTGTCTGGCTCAACCTGGAAATTGGTGAAGGCTTGGAACCATGGGGATCCGAACATTCCATATATTCCATGGGGATTCCGAAATCACTGGATTTTCATGGATGTTCATGAATATGTTCATGACCATTGCCCATGATATATCATGAATATATCATGATATCCATTATGGATCATGATGGGTATATAATCCAACTTTTCAACATGACATGTCGACCCTGGCGTGAATGTTGTGACGACTCGAGTCATGTACAAGCCATGAAACAGTGGCGGCACAGAATCTGTGACATCGTTTACATGACCAGCATAAAGTAGGGATGTAAGCCATACACACGAGGATATACACTTTGAAATGAGGGGATATGATACGTGCCGGCAATATTCTGTTTTGAGATTTTTTGAGCCACACCCATGTTGAATGAATACCAGGGGTTTAGTTGTCGGTCCAAAGTTGAAGGCTTGTCTACAGCACAAGTGGATTTTAGTGGAGGCAAAAATTCAGGTGTAGTCAAATGAAAGACCAAAGTCACCAAAAACCATCTACCCCACAATCCCAATGATTCATTTTCTCCCTGGGTGAATTGTGGATGATCACTACTATGGTGGGAGAATGGAGTCATCAGTCATCTTTCAGGCTACAATACTTTTCAACCCGCAGAATCTCTAAAAAATCCTTACTGGTGCTTAGTAGGGAATGGATGGGACTGGGGGTTGCTGGGATGATTATTACTAGTGATTATGGATCATTCCCTCATTTCCTGCTAAGCACCAGTAAGAATCTCGTGACCAAGGGAAACTCTGAGCTCGCCATGGCCCACAACCAGAGCTCCATGGCCAAGGGACGCATTGAAATCCGGAGTGTTGAGCTCCTGTTAGCCGCGCGTTGGCGGCTTTGCGGCTTAGCGCCATCCCGGGATTATCGAGGTCCCCTAATGGGTCCATAAGTTCCTGTGAAACCTTTAAAGAAACACACGGTCTTTTTTTTGGGAAATCGTGGTGTTGGGTACAAACTTGTGACCTCTTCCAACTGTGCTGCTACGAAAAAAGCAGATGTGTGCATCCTTACGTACCTGGCTACGGATCAGAAATGATTGACCTGATTGACACCCAACCAGCTCTCCTTGTGCCGTCCTTTAAAAAAAAATGGATCATTTCTACAATGGTCAATGGTCCATTGGACCATTTTTATCCATTTTTTGTGGATGCAAAAAGGGCTTCACGATATATCGAGCCACAACCTCTGGGGACCATCCAGGCGTTGAGACCTTCCGTATTGAAGGGGAAATCATTGATCCCCGCAGTTCGGGCATGGCCGTGTCTGAAAAACTTCAGTAACTTCATCATGGCCATGCTCCTTTAAAAAAAAAAAAACATATAAAATAGACAAAAGTCGGACTTTCCCACAGTTTCATAAAATAAACAAATACCCTCTGGTAAACTAACATAGCTATTGAACATGGCCATTATAGTGGATTTACCCATTAAAAATAGTGATTTTCCCATAGTTTTTTGTATGTTTACCAGAGGGCAGTTCTCGCTTTTCCCGCCTCCAAGGTGTTTGCTGGGATCTTGCCAGTAATGGCAGAGAGACCCTCCTGGAAAATCGCTGTCGCCATTGTGCCATGGGAGAATCATCGAACCAGCCATGAGATATCTTCCGGTCAGCCATGTTTGATTAGTGGAGGGCCATGATGTCATGTCAACTTCGGATTAATAAACCCGGACTCTGAAAAACTGGGTAGCTTAAACCCCCAAAATTTAAGGTGTTAAATGACTATCAAAATGGCTACCTCCAATATTTTTCTAGATGTTTGCTATCCTGGGTTGACGTTAAAGGTTCTAGATATGCTGAAAAGAGTTGTGACCCAATGCCTACCAAACAGAGGCTGTGACCCAGAATCCAAGTGATGATGAATCGAATCCATCGGACAATGTACACTGCCTTAAAATTCTGCATTACCCTCTGGTAATTTAACATAGCTATTGAAAATGACCCATATATAGTGGATTTTCCCATTAAAAATGGTGATTTTCCATAGCTATGTTAAATTACCAGAGGGTATATCATATCAATTCATATCATATCCCCATGTAGTCGTTGAAAACCAACAGCCTTATATATCGTCGTTCCCCAGCGTTTTTGCATGAGGCTTTCATCCCCCACCAGACCTTGTTTTATTTGTCAACATGGGTCAACATCCGGCCACCCAGTTGTGTCAATCCCATCGAGTCGATCTATCTATAGTTTTTGCCCTCCATTGTTGGTAAACATCCCATCCCATGATATGTACCATAAAAAACACCATTTTTAATAGGTAAACCATCTATAAATGGGCCATTTTCCATGGCTATGTTAAATAACCAAATGGTAATTACATAACCATATATCACTAATATATCCCAATAAAATGGAGATTTCATCGAGATGGATCAAAACCGTTTTATACATCTAAATTTAAACCCATCTCCATTAGCATCAGTATTCTAAACATATAAGGGTATTATCAAACATTATTCTAAACACCATGATGTTAAATTTGGATGTGGCATGTGTTTGGTCACTCCCATTCGCCTTACCCCGAGGCGTTGGGATGGCCATCGAGGTGCTCTTCTCATCCTCCCCTTCCTGCCAGGACCAGCCACGAGTTTATCTGATGTCTTTACCCTCTGGTAAACGTTTACCCATGGGAAAATGGGAAAACATAGGGAAACCCATAGGAAAATGGAGGTTTACCCTCTGGTAAACGTTTACAAAAAGCTATGGAAAGATCCACCATTTTTCATGGGAAAACTCACTATTTCGACTGGGCCATTTTCAATAGCAAACTGTCAATTTACCGGAGGGTATCATTTTTTTTGGTGAAAAAGTGGATCTTTAACGATCTAAACTGGATTTTGAGTGACAAGAAACAAGATATTGGCGAACAAGTAGAGATGAAATGCATTTTAACTTTAGCCAACAAAATACGCACTGGAACTGGATTTTAACCCAGACCACCTACGAGTTGAATCAACCACGTAGACAAAAGTGCGTTCTGACCAACAATGTCTGCGTGGGTGGGCAACAAATTTCAGAAAGGATTGGAATGCGGCCAGTAGAAGGGTAAATTTGACCAAATACAAACTTGGGAACATAATGCGCAAAAACGAGCGAGCTGGCCAAGAAATGCAGATCTAAAAAACCGGCATCAACCAGCCCCCAACAACCTGATAATTTCCAGAAGATTAATACAATTTTTGGGAACAAATAAAGGTGTCTTAAGTCATGGGGTTACCCCCAAATCATCCACTTTATAGTTGGATTGTCCATTACATTAACCATCCAGCTATTGGGGTGTCCCCATGACTATGGAAACTTCCAACTATGGCTAGCCCGGGCTGCCCGACAATCATCTTCCTGTCACGGTAGCCGAGGTGACCCAGACGCGGTTCAAGGAATCGGTAAAATGTGAGTACACATATATGGATAGTGGATAGACATGTATGTGATGTGATATGTATTGTTGATGTGTATACATGTGTCTATATATATATACAAGAGCACGTCAAACCCATCGCCTCCCTCATCGCGGTGGTATTTTTTCTCTTATTGGTTTGACCAAAAAAGCTCAAAAGGGATACTTCGAATAAACATAGGTCATCATAGATCCACAAATTCCTCAAGAAATCACTCAAACATCCCCAAAAAAAGGATGAAGTTTGCCAGGTTACCAAGGTTACCCTTCCGGCTAGGACAGTCCGTCGATAGATCCCTGGCCTGCCATTGGCCACACTCGCTCCCTGAAGCCTCAGAGGTGGTTTGCTTGGACGATCTCATCCACTGAAATTGGGATTCCACGACCATTTGAATGTGAACAAAAGGGATCAAACAGTTGGAAGGAACAAAGAAATACATGGAAATGAAGAGTAAACTGATTAAACAGTTGGAAGGAACAAAGAAATATATGAAAATGAAGAGAACCAAAAATGGGAGGCTTACCAACAAAAATGCGGATGGCACCAAAAAGAAGTGCTATGTCTGCAACAAGAATATATCGGCAAAGCAAGCAAAATTCCATCAACAAACATATGAATTTGGCCATGGGAAACAAGCTGAATTTCTTAATTTCCCATAGAGGATGCCATGGATCCCTCCATGGATCCCTTCCTCACAGCCGGGAAGCCAATTCAGTGTCATAATTTCGTTCTCCGTCATGTTATCCTTCACTTCCGGCTCCTGGCACACAACGCATCGATGACTGTGACGGTATTCCATGTTGAGTAACCGTGACGTAACAACTTACGCAGTGGGATCGTTCGAACCTCGGGGAGATCACAGCTTGGCAGTTCTCAAGCGCACTTCCCTTGCTTCTAGGTTGGCAAGACCATGGCTAAGCCTGGATTCCAAGAAATGAAAACTCATCTTCAGCAGATTGATATGTCAAGTTCCTCCATTATCTCCATTTATAATAGATGGCTTGAGGCCTTCAGTCAACCAGCAAGGTCTAAGCCCCACCCCGCGCCCCCGCGCACCCCCGCAACGGAGGAGAGGTGTGCAATAGCCTTGGTGGCACTGGGTCGCTGGCAAATCTGGAGAAACTAACCATCAACATGGTGGCCTAACCATTAAAAATGGCAACGCAAACAGCACATGGGGCAAATGTTGACCATGAGGGAACCCAAACCTGGGGCACCAGCATCCACACCACACCACAGGATGTCTTATATGTTTTCAATATCTTCCAGTAAATCAAAAAAACGACATGGAACATCCAGTGTTTTCATTCATCCTCTGGTGATAAGTATATCATAATTTTTTGGATGTGCTGTTTGAGCGTGGGCGAACCCGGGGTTTGGAGGGAACATCCCACCATTTAAAGATCATGTTCCTTGGGATTTCCATGGATTTCCGATCGAGGACTACGTTGCTATCCAAGCAGCCGCCAGCTTCTTGACGACCTTCTCCAGCAACATAAACTCACTGGACTGTTCCAGCTCCTGGCCACCAAGCAGAAGATAGCCATTTCAGGGACCGACTTAGAGCTACCTACAATATATATATATATTATATATATATATAAGGCCTGTAAGATCTATGTAACGGAATATTCCCACAAAATATGGCCTTATGTGGTACAGTACCTCCATTTTTCTGAAAGTCCCACTGAAAAATGGGGAATATACCCCAAAACTCTGGCTATGAAACTATGAAAGCAAGGAAATTAAGAAAATGATGGTAAATCATAGGATTTTGGGGGTATCTTTTTTTTTTCGGACAAGACACCAGTTTAAAAGACGGCAAGTGGGAAAACCCAGGGTTCAAGATGAAACATAGACCACACGACTACCAATTCAAAGCTGGAGACATGCTATGTTGAAGGGGGGTTCTTTCTACGAATTGGGGGACCATGATAGGGCTTCTACTAACAAAGAGCCTTCAGACTTCATGGACTGTTTCCATGTTCGAGACGCCCACATCAACAAGTCCTCTGTTATCAATGACAGGAACAACACAAATACCCTCTGGTAAATTAACATAGCTATTGAAAATGGCCATTTATAGTGGATTTATCCATTAAAAAAAGGTGATTTTCGATAGTCATGTGAGTTTACCAGAGGGTAAACCTCCATTTTCCTATGGGTTTCCCTATGTTTTCCCATTTTCCCATGGGTTTTATCACTGGGACATGCGTCTCAAGTCTCACGCGTTCGCGTGACCAAACCCCAACCACCGACTCCTGGTCGTCGTCATCCTCATCCTCAGACCTTGGATGCGAAATCGACTCGATGAGCAAATGATGAAGCATCAATACATGGGAGCACAATTGTTTGTACTGGTTGGTGGTATACCTACCCCTCTGAAAAATATGAAAGTCAGTTGGGATGATTATTCCCAATACATGGAAAAATAAAAAATGTTCCAAACCACCAACCAGTTGTATATATTTTATTATATATACACAATATATACATATATATACACATAATATTATACATACATAATATTATATACATGCTGTGTGAACAGCTAAAGCCATGTGTATTTCATATCATGTAATCAAATCTATAGTACTGTATGTGCGGCGAATCGTCCAACTGAGTTCGTGTGGAATTGCTCACAATAGTCTTCAGGAAGGGGCCGTTTCAAGTTGGTTTGTTCCACCCGGTGAACGATTGGATATATGGCAGATATATAATGATATATATATAATATATATATATAATTATTATTATATTTAATATCATGTATATATATATATATACATACAATTGCACTTCATATACATATCATCTATAGTAAGATCGGGTAGCATAAACCAACAAACATCACTGTGGGGCACCGCCTCGTTGTATCTACTCCAGCAGGGCGATCGGTTGCCTTGGCTTCCCGACTCTTCCTCGTCCTTCAAGTCGGTGGTGTATTTGAAGATTTGCTGACCTTGGTTCCAGTCACTAAGTGCCAATCTGCCAGGAGGTTTTCCAATTTACTAAGTTACCCTCTGGTAATTTAACATAGCTATTGAAAATGGCCATTGAATGAAATAGTGAGTTTTCCCATTTAAAATGGTGATTTTCCATAGTTATGTTAGTTTACCAGAGGGTAAACCTCCATTTTCCTGTGGGTTTCCCTATGCTTTCCCATTTTCCCATGGGTTTTGACACAAAAAGTAGGCTCGTCCTACCCTGGGCTCCAGCAGAAACATGGTACACCACAGCGGTCCAGCACCGCGCGTACGTTGCTTAGTAGAAACAACAGAAAGACAGAATCGTGATTTCTCAAAGAAAATTACCGTTCATATATAGTTACCATTAATTATCATTGATTATCATTAATTACCATTGATTACCATTAATCCGCCCACACCGCTTTGGCGGTGAAGGCGTGCTTATTGGGGGGCAACAGCAACACTAAATGCTCAATGACATTTGTTAATATAGCAGTCGCTATATCAGCTTTAGCTGGGGGGGGGGCCAAAAACGGTTTCGCACCGAGACCAGACCCCAAAAACGGTTTCGCACCGAGACCAGAATACGGTGGTGTTTTCGACATTTTTCGAGGATTTTTGGGTGTCTGAGCGCAAGAGGGTATTGAAATGGAATTTTGGGTCATTTTGGTAGCTTTCCGGCAATGGAAAAACGGCCAAAAATGAAAAAAACATTGTACATAGCAAGATTTTGCAGGGTTTTTGGATGCCAGAGCATTGAAAACACTGCAAAAACAAGTGTTTTGGACTGACGTTATAGCAAAAAACGTGTAAATTACCGTATGCTTGACTGGAAACATTACAAAAACACTGTCAAAAGCAATGTTTTGGAAGGATTTACTGCCTTTATGGCAAAAAACGTGTAAATTACCGTCTGTTTGACTGGAAACATTGGAAAAACACTGTCAAAAACAATGTTTTGGAAGGATTTCTTATTTGAAGAGCCCCCACGGGGGAAAACCACCCTTAGCCCCTCTCACGGACCGAAATAAACCTGCGGTGCGGGCGGCCACCCCACGCGAAGCGGGGTGAATTACCATTGATCAAAGAAAATTACCGCTCAAAACAGGATCCAAGCTTTGTCAGCGACGTCTCAAAAGATGGGACCCACTCGGTGACCAACTTTCGTCCCACAGCCAAGTACTGTAACCCTGCGACAGCCACCGCGTTGTGAAGCAGACTCTAAGCTACCCAACATCGCTGCCGAACCACTGAAAGCATCCGTTCCAGCCTAGTGCAGCAGTCGTGATTGGGACTGGTGGTTGAGTTATCTACTTATCTACGGTAAAAATGGGTTCCTGTGGTCAATTGGACAGCGAGTGTAAGATGCTTCAAAAAAATCTGAAGCCACCAACCAATCGATGACAAATGACAGGATGCAGTATTCATCCGGGGCTATTCATCCTAGGGAGGCCTCAGAAGACCAAAAGATCCATGGTAGCGAACTTTTTCGGACCTCCGTCCGGTGACCCCCAACTTTGAAGCCGTTTCAAGTCAGAAAGTCCCATCGTTTGCATTTTGGGAGTAGGATGTCAGATATTCTCTTCAGGTGGATGTTGGCTACTAGAACATGCTGAAACGACAAGATGGTCTCCACTTCTTATGTGGATATATCGATATCTATATACTGCATTCCTCTATCAACATCACCTTCGGAAGGGCTGTACCACTATAGTTCACCGCCAAAAAGTGACAAAATAAAAACTGAGGTATCGTCTCATAATATCCCACACATAATATCCCCCATATCCAACTCACAGTCGTCGTTGCTCCCCTGAGCGCCCCGGGCGGGAGGAGGGCAACTTGACTGATGGATTGACTCATCAGCAAGCCAAAGATACACATCACCAATACCTGGGCAGTGCCCAAAAAAAAACAACTATTTGGAGGTTTCCATAACTGGGGGTCCCCCAAAATGGCTGGTTTATAAGGGGAAATCCCAACCATTCTGCAACTGTTCCAAAAGTTTCCCCCAAAAAAAGTCGGAGCCCAAAAATTGAACACCTTTTCTCTGCAAAAGTTGGGGGCCAAATGACTGCCATGTGGAGTTTCCACCAATCCAAGACCATGGAATGACCATCTCCATAGGGGAAAGGAGGTCTCAAACTACTGGCGCAAGGATTGCTGGGGGCTTGACAACTTGGATCCACTGGGACAGGCGGATCTGGAAATGAAGAAAACCTACTCAAAGCGCCCAAACCTTGCAATTTCCAGATGTATCATATCTGCACAATCAGCAAAACATAGCAAAACTGCCAAAAAATACAGATAGCTTGATCACACTTGTTGATCAACAAACATCCCCTTATTTTGCTGTTCGCTTCCAGCCCCCTTTTGTTCGCCGGGTGACCACAAAGCAGAGTAGACCCATTCCAGCGGCACTCTCCTGCAGTGCTAGGGCTGCCGTGTTGTTTAAAAGAGCACTTAAGAATAACTACATCTAGCATGTGTTTAAAATACTGTATCTTTGGGAAATATGTATGTATATATATATATACATATACAGTATACGGCATGTTGGGAAGCTTCATCGTTGCAAATTTATGGAATAATGGGCATTCTCATGGCGGGAATACACATCAAATCCATGGCTAATCCGGATATCCACAAGATTTGGGAACAAAAAGTGGTGCAGCCTCCAAACCCAGTTTGGTTTCTACCAACAAAATGGATTCTGGAAGTGGCAGAGATTCCCCCTATCTTTAGAGGTCTGTCTTCCAGCTCCTCTTGTTTGGGCACCACCAAGTTGAACGAAACCTGGATCGCCTCCTGTGAAGGGCGCTGCTTCAGGTGGTTTCTTGAGGATCGTCGCAGAACAGGATGGAAAAAGAACATCCGAAAGATGTTGAAACCATCAGGCAGACATTGAAAACAAAAACTCGATGCATTTACCAACTGTCACTTCCAATAATGTCCTTTTGGTAAAAATAGAGGGGCCGGTTTGGCATACCATCTATCATCATTTCCCTGTTGTCAAAGGGGTTTCTCCAAACCCCTCTATTAATCAACCAACCAATGGGAAAAGGACATCTATGGTCACTTCAGACCGGGTCTCGAAGCCTGTACAAAGAAACTTTAGGACCAAGCCACAAGTTATCAGCCCGTGGTTCACCATCCACCAATCATCATGAATCATTCCTCGCTTACAATTCACAGTTGCACAGTTTTGAAGCTTATCAGAATCCCCTTTTTGGTCAAAACTCTAATTATGATCACATAGATTAGTGGCACCCAGCAATTTACCCTCTGGTAATTTAACAGTTCGCTATGGAAAGATCCACCATTTTTAATGGGAAAATCCACTATTTCTATGGCCATTTTCAATAGCAAACTGTTAAATTACCAGAGGGTCGATCATTTTCCGGGAAACCTGCGTCACCTGCCTGAGAATACTCCCGGATGGACGCTTTCCGCTGCGGCCTGATGCAAACGCGAAATGGACTCTCCGAAAGAGTGAAATAGTGGACATGGATATATATATATATATTTAGATGTATATACTGTGTATATATATATAGAGATATACTACTGTCCCCATATGTGTATGTATATATATATATATGTATATATGTATGTATATGTACGTATACATAATATATACTGTATATATGTATATGTGTGTATGAAAAAAATCCGTTTCTTGTGAAATTATATGGGTGCAACATAATGTAACACAAAAAGAGGCCTCCAAACCAATGCCGACTTTGTCAAGTTTCATCAGCTGATGTCCGCCACTTTTCACCACCGGGATTCAGACGTACTGAATTTGCTAGTGTAATTCAAATTCCTCGGCTCAGGATGTTCGGTGAAGGTCCGTGCGCAACAAAAAGAGCGGTTTCAAACTTTCAAACCACAGACAACCTGGGGGCCACCGCGAAATGTTGGAACCATAGACAACCTTTTTGAAACTACAAGGATGGGCTGAGGATCTCCACAAGCAGATCGGAAAGTGAAAAAAAAATTGCTGAAATCACCAGCCGGCCATTAAAAATATGTTTCCTAAGTTTGAAACAACATCTCCACCTGGTGGTTTCAACCCTACTGAACAATATTGATTTGGACCATCGTCATATCAATGGTTTTTTCTCGAACACAAATTTATCAGCTATGATATTCGCAATATAAATACCCTAGGGTAAACATACAAAAAGATGTGGAAACCCCATATGATTTCCGTTTGGAAAATGATATACAAATGATGGGGTTTTTCAAACATCTATGTTAATTTACAGGAGGGTATATATTATATACCATCTGGTTATTTAACATAGCCATGGTATAGATGGCCCATTTATAGATGGTTTTACCTGGGTTTACCTATTAAAACTGGTGATTTTCCATGGCAAACTGTTAAATAACCAGATGGTAGTTCCAAAAAAGAACGCTGGTGAAATCTAGCTATCTATTGACCGAGTTGTGGCCCCTCCAAGAATCCACCCGGAGCCGAATATTAATCCATTGACATTCCCAATGAGGGAAATATGAAGAATTCCATCAGCAAAAATTCATATCATATCTAGTCCATTTCCTGTATGTCAATATATATATATATATATTATATATAAGTATATATATATATGTATATTTATATACATGGAAATAAGTTGAAAATATTGATTCACCAACATTTGGCTAGTTGGAGCATTGCGATTTGGTGGAAATCCAAACTGGGCCTTTCCAGCCGAAAAAAACCAGCGGCTGTGAAAAAAAAACAAAATTCATGGTTCATCATCATGTTCCCCATGAGAAATGGCCATAGACTTGTGCCATCAGAAAACCCAGAAAACCGACTAGTGGTCGATGGATACCATCCACTGTCCACAGGAGTGGTTCTGTTAAACCTCATGCTGTCTTTAGAACTAAATTATTCATGATACTCATATATACACTACATATGTGTATATATATATATATATATGTATATAATTATATATATATACATATTAATTCTATGTAGAAAGAAACGAAAAGTAAAATTTCCCCAGACCCCACCTGACTCCCGTCATTTCAAGGTCGGTCAACGGCTTCACCGGACTCCCACCATGGCTTTGCGCCGAGAATCAGCAGATCGTTACGACACTCGAAAGTTCCGCTGCTGCCTTGGAGAAAATGCCCCGTTCCCTGAGACCTGGGGGATACCCTCTGGCAAACTAACATAGCTATTGAAAATGGCCATTTATAGTGAATTTTCCCATTAAAAATGTTGATTTTCCATAGCTATGTTAAATTACCAGAGGGTATGCCCAATTTTTGGGATGTGAACAAGATGCTGAGAAAGGTGAGAGGAAATGTAATATGGAAATGTTGTTTTTGCTTCACAATCTAGCTTATTCTGCTGAAATGTAAGTTGTCCCTTCAAGTCTGAAAGGATGCATTTGGAAATCCAATGGCTGTTCTACTAGTTACTAGTTGATTGATAGGACTTCCGGTCATGGACAGCATTCCATACCCCCATTCATCCACCATTCACCGCTTCGGGACGTCGGGAGGACCGTCCCATCCCAAGCTTAGTGAGCGGCTCAGATCACCGTAGCACACGTGAAATGGACCTAGGGCAGCTGGTCATGGGTCAATGAGTGCAATTGATCCGATGGGTCAACCGATGGATCAACCTCAACCTCCGACTTTTTTGATGGATGGTATATACAGTAATTACATGTGTCGAAATGATGTGACTACCCTCAAAATTTGGATAGTCCCCATTTTGAAAGGTATAGATATGATATGTGTATGATATCTGGATCCATGGAATCCATTGGCTTGATTCCCAAAGATTCTATGTCCGAATGTCCGACCGCCAAAAAAATCCATTCTGGAGCCAAAAGTGAGTTTGTACTCGAATTGGAAAGGTGAAAGTTATCCAGTTATCCCTCAAATGGTCAACTCCAAAGCATGCAAACCGTTCAACAGGGGTATTTCATTCTTCTATAAACATCAGTTTTGACAACGTTGAAGCACCAATTCAGCCCGCAAAGGTGCTCCCCCAAAAGAGGAAAATGAATCAGTGATCAAACATGGTGGTTACCCTCTGGTAATTTGGATGTGGGTCAAAATGGAAGACCTAGGGGACCACAGATGTTAGTCTAGTTTAGTATTAACCATCCAATTATTGGGGTACCTAATTTTGACCCATACCCATTTAACATTGCTAGTGAAAATGGCCATAGAAATAGTTGATTCCCCTTTAAAAAATGGTGGATCTTTCCATAGGGTTACCCAAGAAATGGGTCCGTTTGAACAGATCATCCAAGAAGTCAGGGCATCCATGGCATCCATGGCAAATAGGGATCCATCTCTTTGGCTTGTCCCATGTGTATACAGTATATATATATATGTGTGTATATGTGTGTGTGTGTATGTATATGTATTATACATACATACATAACATAACATAACATAACATTACATTACATAACATTACATTACATTACATTACATTACATACATACATATATATATATATATTAGTATATATGCATGTAATTAATATATAATCTAAACTAGGGACACTAAGTCCCAGTTGCACCATCCAATAGCCGTTCCTTGATCACGACATTCGAGAAAACATGGTATATTACCAAGTCGTTTGATTTCGTTGCCAACTACGCTTGACCCAACTTGGGAGTGTCATTCCATTTAATCCTGGTGAATAGAGGGGAATTTCCCGTTCTTGGATAATTGTAATTCCCATTTTGTCCGTATATGTATATGTATCTGTATATGTATATGTATATATATATATATACATATCTGTATATAATAAGGGTAGGAAATTGTTTGGGGAATTTTGTTTTTTTAGTTTGGGTTTTTTTTTTTGGATTTCCGGTTCTCACCATTTTCCATGCTATTTGCAGCATTTTGGAGCTGGAAACTGCCATTTCCACGGTATGTGCAACGGTTTTGAGTTCGAACCTCTCATTTTCCATTGTATTTTCCACGGTATTTGCAACAGTTTGCAGCATGTTCTGTCCATTTTCCATGCTCTTTGCAGTATTTTTGAGCTGGAATCTGCATTTCCACCGTATGTGCAACATTTTACAGCTACATTCCTCACAGTACTGGAGCTGAAGGCTGACATTCCAACAGTTGTTTGTTGTTACTGTTACTGTTGTTGGTGTTGGTGTTGGTGTTGTTGTTGTTGGTGGTGTTGTTGTTGTTGGTGGTGGTGGTGGTCGTGTTGTTGCTGTTGTTGTTGCTGTTGTTAGTGTTAATGTTAGTGTTGTGTTAGTGTTGTGTTAGTGTTGTGTTAGTGTTGTGTTAGTGTTGTGTTAGTGTTGTGTTAGTGTTGTGTTAGTGTTGTGTTTGTGTTGTTGTTGGTGGTGGTGGTGGTGGTGTTGTTGGTGGTGGTGGTGGTGGTTGCTGTTGTTGGTGTTGTTGTTGTTACCGTGTTGTTAGTTTGCTAGTGTTGTTGTTGTTGTTGGTGGTGGTGTTGTTGTTGTTGTGTTGTTGTGTTAGTGGTGTTGTTGGTGTTGTTGTTGTGTTGTTGTTGTTGTGTTGTTGTTGTTGTTGGTGGTGGTGGTGTTGTTGTGTTGTTGTTGGTGTTGTTGTTGTTGGTGTTGTTGTTGTTGTTGTTGTTGTTGTTGGTGTTGTTGGTGTTGTTGTTGTTGTTGTTGGTGGTGCTGTTGTTGTTGTTGTTGATGTTGCTCCACACCTCATGGAAAAGCAAAAAAGCAAAGAAAAGCAAAAAAGCAAAAAAGCAAAGAAAAGCAAGAGAAGCAAAAAAGCAAAGAAAAGCAGAAAAGCGAGAAAAGCAAAAAAGCAAAGAAAAGCAAGGAAAGCAAAAAAGCAAAAAAGCAAAGAAAAGCAAGAAAAGCAAAAAAGCAAAGAAAAGCAGAAAAGCGAGAAAAGCAAAAAAGCAAAAAAGCAAAGAAAAGCAAAGAAAAGCAAAGAAAAGCAAGGGAAGCAAAAAAGCAAAAAAGCAAAGAAAAGCAAGAAAAACAAAAAAAGGAATAGAAGCAAAGAAGCAGAGAAGCACTGCAGGAGGCAATAGAGTAAGCAGGAAGAAATCCAAAAAAAATCCCTAAACTAAAAAAAAACCTAAATAAATGGCCCTCCATATAATAATAATGATAATAATAAATAATAATAATAATAAACAATAATAAATAATAATAATAACAATATATAACAATAATAATAATAATCATCATCATCATAATAAACAATAATGATAATGATAATCATAATGATTATAAATACTATATTGTTATTGCTTATTGTTATTATCATTACTATTCTCATTATTATTATTGGGTAGAAGCCAATCCACTCATCAACCAACAGGGCTAGATCGCCCAAAAAAAATCATCCTGAGTCCTCCGCCGTATGAGAAGCTGTCGTAGGCTGTCATCATACGCTCCACCTGGCCATGGGGGGTCCATGGGGATCCCCAATGGCTGGTTGCTGTATGGAAAATCCATGGAAAATCCCATCTACAAATGGATGATGTGCTTGTTTTTTTAAGGGAAATCCCCAAAACCATAGGTTTCAATAGTTAAATGGTCTAATGACTTGGATGGTTTCGGGGGGGTCCCCAATTTTAGGAAAAAATCCGGCGAATCGGGCTTCCCACCTAGGAGTTTGCCCCCAACAAGACATGTTGGGGGCTCACGGTGCACAAAACATGAGGAATTTTGCCGAATCCAGAGCTTCAGAATGGCAGAATGCACCCATCATTGACCCATTGACTTTCCCCCGTTGTTGGTGACTCCCCAACCCCCCAAAAAAAATGGGGCTTACATCGCTGAACTCCTCATCTCCGTGATGATTTGGGAAAAGGTTGGAGAGTTTCTGAAAAAAGACGCCTCCCTGGCGTTGATTTGTTGCGCAAAAAATGGGGGAGTGCCCGGAATGCCTCCCTTTTCTTCAAAGATTTGGGGATGGGTCAAAACCTGGTACCCCTGGTGAACCCCAAGTCATAGCTGGGATTTATGGATGTTCATCCCACTAAAAATGGTATCTATAGGTATTGACCCATAGCCATTTCAATGATTCTGACAAGTCATCCATTTTTTTGTGGATAAGGTGCGTAAGATCTCGAAACATCTTGGAACCGCTGCTGGAACATCAAAATGTTTACATTCGCTGGCAGTTGCCCAGAATGGAGGAACCCAATCACAACCACCGCACTCTTCGGTGTTTGTACGTGCCTCTGTCTGTAGCAAAGTTTGTTGCTGGCAAAGCGAGGTGGGATGGCACCAAAGTCACCAAAGATGTACAGAACGGATGTGGTACAGTCAACCAACAACTAAGAATTGCAAGAGGAAATAGTTGATGATACCATTCAATTTTTGGTTCATGGTTTCATCATTTACGGTACAGAATGCTTCATCAACAGAAACTTTGTATATAACAGAAACCATCAAAGAAGAAACCCTGAAAATCGGACTTCCTGTTGCAATGCTACAAATGGTCGATGCTCACCTGCCCATCGTACCGGGTTGACAATGTATGAAATGTCCACCTGTCAATGTGACTGTCTCTATACATATACATATGTACATATGTCCACACATGCACACGCACACTAGATTGCGTTTGTGTGTTTGCGGGTTACAAAGCATGCATGTATCATACATGTGTACCCGAGCATTACATATGTATGAATTTGTGTGCGTGTGGGCGTGACGATGTAGATGTGTATATATATATATACACATGTGTATGTGTGTATGGGTATGTGTGTGTGTGACAATATTGTTATGTATGTATGTGTGTATATATCTGTGCCTATGTGTTTCTATGCACTGTGGTGGTACATGCACTGAACATAGGCATTTGTGCATGAGTGTATACATGTATCCCGATATGTAAAATTGATCCATTAATCCATCTATCTATCTATCCATCCATCCATCCATCCATCCCTCCCTCCATCCCATCCCTTCCCATCCCATCCAATCCAATCCAATCCAATCCAATCCAATCAATCCAATCCAATCCAATCCAATCCAATCCAATCCAATCCAATCCAATCCATCCATCCATCTTATCTTATCTATCTGTATAAATATTATATATACACACACATATACAAACACATCTACTTGTTCGTACAGCCTAACAAGCCAATTATAGCCAATCTAACTGATCCAAGCTGGCAATCTTAACTGTCCCAGTGGCCAACTCGTTCCGCGTTACTGCTCCATCATCGCAGCGGCACTGCGAAACATTCTTAGACATTCCCTTCAAACAATCTTCCTCATAGTCACCATATGATCATGTGGCAAATTCTCAAAATGGGGCTTCAATACTAAGTCATGGTCTAATTGTGGATGATAACTGGGGGTACCCCCATGACTTCGGAAACCTCCATATGTGCTGTTTGGTCAAAACGTGGGATGTGTCTTATGGTCATTCCATAATTTGAATCACCACCAAAAGGATGGTTGAAACCCAAACAAAAAATGGGATGTTTACCATCTATCAACTGGTTCTGATTTCGCTGGCCCATCCACAGTTTTGCCCCATCTTTTTCTGATTAGTCCCGCGCCCGAGGCCTCAAGTCTTTCTGTACTGTTCGTCGCCTGGCGTAAAAATACGTGGTACGCACACAGTATGCATACCGGGAATCGCCATTTTTACAAAAAAAAATGAGTGAAAATGTGGAACTGGTCGATGTTCCATCTTGCAGACCTAGGACAAAACACAAGTTCTGGTTGAAGCCTATCAAGTTTCTCTAATCATCGTCCATAGCCCCATAGCCATTTCAACGCATTCGACCAGCTTCGGATGGGCCGTGGCGCCTGCTTGAAAAATGCGGCATTTCGGTCCAATAACTCTGCCCAAGTACCTGGCAACGAGTGGCCTCCCAACTTATGCTGCGGAAATGCTGCAGCCCCATGGCTTAGAATTGAGTAGAATTGCTAGAGATAAGACTGAGGCAAGAAGATGTTATTGGGGATGTATCACCATGGATTATATGGCGAAGCATCCACAGTGACGTGCTATCGAGATGCACTACATTCCAGGAGTCCTAAATGCCACAATCCAAAAAACAACCATCATGCCTGGTGCCATTCAAAACAAGGTGACTGCAGTTTCTTAGATGGGCAAAAAGATCATGTTCAGCGGAATGACATATTTCATCATATGTCCATCTACAGATATATAACTATATAGTGTATATCATATGTCCATCAGAATATATATCATGTATATATATGTCTATATATGATATATATATATATCATATATAGACATATATATATATAGTTCATCATTAGCATGTTCCCCCCATTTTGGAACAGAGCTTCCGACCATCGATTCTTCGCCCACCAATAGTTGTCTTCTCAGCTTCGGACCCATGGAATCATCCATTTCGGGATATTGCAGCATCTGGAAGAGTGGCAAGACCACCACGACCTGAAAAAAAAAAAACTCCGCCGGCACGCAGGGTCGACACATGAAATGTTGATAAATTTTCTCGATTCTGTGGTTGAACAGCTAATAATACGGTATAAGGCATAAGGCTACAGAAAGATATGGAAAATCTCGAGTCTGAGCTACGAAATTCTGCATTTCCAGTGATGTGATATGTGTTGACCGATGTTAAACAGCCCTAACTTGGACCAACAATTCAGCAAAATGTTGGAACATTGGAAGATCAATGGACATGAGAACACTCAGATGTTGGATGAATATGGATAAATCTAGATCTATGGATTCCAAAACCTCTGAAAACCAGAGCTATCAGAACATGTTCCATTCAAACATCTACCAATGAGACCATCTCCGATGTCACGCCACGGGAGCCCCTGCACAAATGGTCAGGAAGGCTACTCGAGTTGAGAGGACCTCAGCAAAGGGCGGAATCTGAAGCCGCAGATGGCCCTCAAAACGGCACACTCCTGGTGAACATCGTTGAAAAGCTGGTTGAAAAGCTGGGATTTCCTGTTCATCCTCCCAAAGATGGAGTTTCACTGTCATTTGTCCCCCGTATCTAGAAGTGATCAAGTGCCACGTTGATTTTATGCTATGTTTGACCTGTCCCCAAACGCTTGGCTCGCAGGGGATCCTTCACATATTCCCTCTGTATGGGTTTGTGTAAACATGGGGTAACCCTAAATCAACTGGTTAATCATAATTTTCCCTATTGTTCATGGCCATAACTTGGGGGTGTATCTCATTTTCAAGACAAACCTATATCCCAACTGTGATTCTTGACGGTATCCCCCCACAAGCGGTGCCAGCGCCTGGACTTTTTTTACGGTTCACGCCCTGCTGAGTTCCCAGGCAGTGTTGAGCTGATTGGAGATAACTCGGGCAATCCTTGTGACGAGATCTTCAAGGGATGACTTGGAACACCGCAGGTGAGCAGTGTCGCCGGGAACGTAACCCCAAAAACGCTGGGAATTTTACCATGGTTTAACCCATCAACAATTCGTGTGTAACGTCTAATCAACAAACATCCGCCTTTGGTTTGGTAATCAGAAAGTAAAAATTGATCATCAGCAAATAGGCTTCATCAATCAAAATGGAAAGATGGCGTACATGGAAAAGGGTATTGTTACCCTCTGGTAAATTAACATAGACCCTGGCAGATAGGGGTTGGAAGACTAGTTTCCATTAAAAATTGTTGATTTTCAGGGTCTATGTTAATTTACTGGAGGGTATAGTCCAATACCAAAAATGAACAATATGATGTGGCAGATCCAAAAGAAAAGAAAACATCCCAATGACTTCCCGGAAATGGGGCGCGGTTTACCACACATTCTACTGATGGATGAATGGTGATTCCCAGTTTATGAGAATCCCCTGCTTATACATAGGGTGGTGTAGCTAAATGTGGTTCCCTTTTTTCATCAACCCACGTTTTGATGGAAAATCCCAACATATGCAGCTGATTCACCCATCAAAAATGATGGTTTTTGTCTCTTGCCATCGAAAAATCCCCTGGGGCGCCATGCTTGACCTTGGAAGCGTCTTCCTTGGTGGACATCCCTGGGAGCATCTTCAACAACTTCACTGCCTTGGGATCGATGCTGCGCTGAAAGTCTGCCATTACGTGCCTTTGTGATTGGTAGTAACATCCCAAGTTCCCTTCCTTTTTTTCTATGCAGATCTTCTATGGTATCGCGTGATTCTTAGGTGATTCCAAATATATAATATGTCCCTGTTTCTTCCTTGTTCCATCATTTCTATCCCGCATCTTTGGTCATCCAAATCATGATCTGCCCCCTAATCTTTTGGCTCATCTGCCGCTTCGCAATACCTCACACCCCCGAGTCAATCCCATTGATCCCCCACTAGGCTACTGTGTTAATCCATTCCCAGTAATATCATATGTGTAATATATATAATACATATATTTATTTATTTATATATATATATGTACATATATGTAAGTATGCATATCATGTGCTTGGAATTCATCTCGTTTGTTGCTGAACTGTCCATTCAACATCCTAATTTCTTGGATTGTCAGGAAATGTGTTGCATCATTCCACCATTTACGGGGCGTGGTCAGCCAATGACACTGCCAATGACATCGCCCAAATAAAAAAGATTTTATGCATATGGTCAAAATGAGCTACCCCTAAAAGGGAATATAGTTATTAAGTATGGTTATCAACTATAGTTATTCACTATAGTTATTCACTATAGTTATTCACTATAGTTATTAACTATAGTTATTACCTATAGTTCTTAACTACTTAAGTCGTGACTAAGTGGGATGTTCCTCCAAGTGGGCTTTTTTTTCCTTGTCCCACCACTGAGTCCTCCGACTCTGCTCAAGCGCCCGGCGCGCGCACCAAGCTTGGCTGCCCGAGCCGCGCGCACCACGATGACCTCGGCAACCGTTTCATGGAAAGGTATGTGATTTGGGGAAACCAGGTTGCTTCAACCTCTGAACATATTATATGTCAAAATACCAGTAGTACCGCACAAGGCGGTGGCGGAAGTTTCAAAGATAGGAAACTATAGGAAAGAGCAGTTGTTGTGATGCATGGACGGCAGAGCGAACCCACTGATGGCTCAAAAGGTGGTTGAGGCTCTGAATCTCTCCCTCTCTCTCTCTACAACTCTCTCTGTCACCTTCTCTCTGTGTCTCTCTATCTCTCCCTCTGTCTATCTATCTGTCTATCTATCTATCTCTGGTGTAGTGTAGTGTCGTTATAGTGGTAGTGGTAGTTGTAGCACAGTGTAGTCTAGTCTAGTGTAGTGTAGTGTAGTGTAGCGTGGTGTACTGTAGTGTAGTTGAAGCCTAGTATAGTGAAGTGTAGTGTGGTTGTACTTGCAGTTGCAGTTGTAGTTGCATTGTAGTTGTAGCTAGGTGTAGTTGTAGTGTAGTGCAGTGGAGTGGGGTGTACTGTAGTGTAGCGAAGTGTAGCGAAGTGCAGCGCAATGTAGCCCAGATCCTCGTCCCACGCCTGCCATTGTTCTTGGCACTTGCTAGGAAATCCTCACGTTTTGCTCACTTTTGGCAAGGTGCAGAATCCACTGCGCCCGCCAGGCAAAAAGACGGTTCAACGTCCAAAAGCTGTCCGAACATGTGGTGCGTGCACTTCTTCGACATCTCAACCTCCAAAAGTGGTCCGAATGTGGGGTGCTTTTAGCATTTTGACTTCCAAATGTGCTTCCTGCCACAGCCGCGTGCACTTTTTCAACGCCTAAAACAGGTGCTCCGACGCTGAGGCGCTTTTCGCGTTTGCACTCCGCAATGTGCTTCGCGCAACTACGGCGTCCACTTCTTGCGCATCTCAACTTGCATAAGTGAGAGCCACAAAACATTGGAAAGACACATTGTTTCGCGACTTTTCGACCTTTTCGCACACCTTGATCTTCTTCTCTTCTCCGACTCTTCCCACCTCTTCTGCTTCATCTGCCCAAATTGTCGGAAGTTTGACTTCTAAACTTCCTTCGAATATGTATGTAATTATATTATATGTACCATATATAGGAAAGCATGAACTGAAATATAGATAAGTACATATATATATGTATTTGTATATATATATATGTATTTGTATATATATAATTATATATATATATGTATACAGATTATGTATATGTATACAGACAATTGAGGATATCTAATGAATCTAATTCAATTCGCTGAGTGGAATCACAATGGTGATTGACCGCTCACGATGTGTGGGATGCACGTCCAATATGGATTTTCCTCCCTTAGCTTGCGCTGGAGATCTGGTTCATGTCTTCCCACAAATGCTCGGAGTCTAGTTCGAGTTGTTTCATGAGGTTCGAACCTCCAAAAGAAATGGCAGTGTGTCAAAACCTGGTACCCCTAGTGAACATCAAAATAGCTGGTAAATGGATGTTCATCCCACTAAAAATGTATCTATAGGTATTGACCCATAGCCAAATGGGAAATAACATGAAAATCATGAAATAACAGGGTTCAAATCCAGGTCTTATGGTTTTCCGAGTTGCTCAGGAACTCATGAGCCCCACGACCTGACTCGCCCTAAGCTTCCAAACGTTGTCCTGACTGGCGCCCTCCGTGACCTGAGGTCGGTTTCTGAGGGCTTCATGGACATAACTTTTATAACAAACTAGGTAGATGGGATACCACTTTTTGCTGGGAGCTTCACGCGTACAACTGGTTTTCAATTGGTGTTTAGGAGCGTTCTGGCCCACATTGGCCGTGTAGATCTTACATTACTGTCATTACACTGTCATTACGATATACACAGCCAGAAATATGTTTTGCGTACTAGCTTGGCAGCTCAGGTCAAACAATTCCATGACTCTGCCGATTCACCAAATGTTGGCCAATCGTCATATCATGTTTTCCCGGTATTTTGCTAGGTCTTATTACCAACATAAATCTTACATAGTTATTGGTCCCAACATAAATCGAATGGCTCTTATTGCCACGATTAGTTCTCCATCAATCCGTCGTAAATTCATCGATCTTCCGCGCCTCCTCAACCGCCATGGCGTCGGGACCAAACATGTAGGTGACTGGCAGCGATATTCGAAGAAGGGGACCCCGAAACCTATTAAATCAGGTGAATAGTATATATAAATAACTGGTAGTTATTATGTGAAGCCTAGAAAGCAAGAAAAGCAAAAAAAGGAATAGAAGCAAAGAAGCAGAGAAGCACTGCAGGAGGCAATAGAGTAAGCAGGAAGAAATCCAAAAAAAATTCCCTAAACTAAAAAAAAAAAAACCTAAATAAATGGCCCTCCTTAGCATTTTGACTTCCAAATGTGCTTCCTGCCACAGCCGCGTGCACTTTTTCAACGCCTAAAACAGGTGCTCCGACGCTGAGGCGCTTTTCGCGTTTGCACTCCGCAATGTGCTTCGCGCAACTACGGCGTCCACTTCTTGCGCATCTCAACTTGCATAAGTGAGAGCCACAAAACATTGGAAAGACACATTGTTTCGCGACTTTTCGACCTTTTCGCACACCTTGATCTTCTTCTCTTCTCCGACTCTTCCCACCTCTTCTGCTTCATCTGCCCAAATTGTCGGAAGTTTGACTTCTAAACTTCCTTCGAATATGTATGTAATTATATTATATGTACCATATATAGGAAAGCATGAACTGATATATAGATAAGTACATATATATATATATATATATGTATTTGTATATATATATATACATATTATGTATATGTATACAGACAATTGAGGATATCTAATGAATCTAATTCAATTCGCTGAGTGGAATCACAATGGTGATTGACCGCTCACGATGTGTGGGATGCACGTCCAATATGGATTTTCCTCCCTTAGCTTGCGCTGGAGATCTGGTTCATGTCTTCCCACAAATGCTCGGAGTCTAGTTCGAGTTGTTTCATGAGGTTCGAACCTCCAAAAGAAATGGCAGTGTGTCAAAACCTGGTACCCCTAGTGAACATCAAAATAGCTGGTAAATGGATGTTCATCCCACTACAAATGTATCTATAGGTATTGACCCATAGCCAAATGGGAAATAACATGAAAATCATGAAATAACAGGGTTCAAATCCAGGTCCTATGGTTTTCCGAGTTGCTCAGTAACTCATGAGCCCCACGACCTTTTTACGCCCTAAGCTTCCAAACGTTGTCCTGACTGGCGCCCTCCGTGACCTGAGGTCGGTTTCTGAGGGCTTCATGGATATAACTTTTATAACAAACTAGGTAGATGGGATACCACTTTTTGCTGGGAGCTTCACGCTTACAACTGGTTTTCAATTGGTGTTTAGGAGCGTTCTGGCCCACATTGGCCGTGTAGATCTTACATTTCTGTCATTACATTGTCATTACGATATACACAGCCAGAAATATGTTTTGCGTACTAGCTTGGCAGCTCAGGTCAAACAATTCCATGACTCTGCCGATTCACCAAATGTTGGCCAATCGTCATATCATGTTTTCCCGGTATTTAGCTAATACTGGGTCTTATTACCAACATAAATCTAACATTGTTATTGGTCCCAACATAAATCGAATGGCTCTTATTGCCACGATTAGTTCTCCATCAATCCGTTGTAAATTCATCGATCTTTCGGCCGCGCCTCCTCAACCGCCATGGCGTCGGGACCAAACATGTAGGTGACTGGCAGCGATATTAGAGGAAGGGGACCCCGAAACCTATGAATCAGGTGAATAGTATAAATAACTGGTAGTTATTATGTGAAGCCTACGATAACTGGCTGAACTTTGGGCTTCTTGGTGATTACTGGCTTGCTAGTTCGATGGCTTCAATTGCGGTTTACCTAACCAAGATGCGACTTTCATCAACAAGAAAGGAAGGGTTAGACTTGGACAACAAAAGTCCTCCGAAATGGCTGGGAATGGGTTGATGCAAGTAAACCACCGTGCTTTTGTCCATAGAGTCCGGTGGTTTTCCGAAGATGTTCCCTCGCATCAATATGCAGTCAAAAAAAATCCGGAATGTTTGGAAATGGACGGCCAGAAATCCCCCCATAAAAATGCTCCAACCTCAGCTGCCAAGTGTGCCAGCGGGACTGTCGAGCACCATTGAGGCGGTCCCTACACAGTCCATGACGAAAAAGAAGCCGAAGAGATAATTGGCATCCGTCAACTTAGCGGCGATCCCCGGGCAGTTTTTGGAGTGGATGAAACTTGTGTGTGTGTGTACTATGTAGTTACTATGTATAGTATAAATATATAAAAGAAGTGAATGAATGGTTCCAAGAAAGATGGCTAAGGACTTAAGAACCTATGGCCAGTTTCGTGGGTGCATTCGCGGGGACATCTTGTATGACTGATCAGGGGAATCCGCATGATTTCCCAACTCAGAAACACCTGGCATGACAAAGTGTGACAGTTGGGTACCAGAGAAACTTTTGGGATCTGCAGAGAGAACTTCACAGAAAGTAATCAGCTATGGATTTGAACAAAGATCCAGAACTGGCAGTCAGTTCCAGGGGGCGAACAAACGATGCCATTTTTTTACATGCCCAAACAATAACAGAATTGGGTGCGACTCAAAAATGGTGTATCAATGGACCAAAACTGATCATGTCGTTTCAAGTGTAGAACCATCTGATTCTGGAGATGAAATCTGAAGCCAGCGGCACAAAATGTGGCATCGCTCAGGCTATGGCTGTCAGCCCAACCCATTCAAAAATGAAGAGGGCAAAGACAATGGTGAGTACCTCAGCTCGCCATGGGCCATGGATCAAACTCGGCTGGTTTTTGTTGTTTTTCTTCGCCCAGCTGTTGACCTGGAAAAAAATACCAAATCCGATGCTTTCTCATCATGTCCCATTGGAATTGCCATGTTAGCGCTGAGCCCTCCAGCCACATCCTGTTCGGTGTTCGAAGGGACCTGGTCCGAAGGAGATCGATGAAGCCAAGGTGTTGGCTGATGGGAATAGCTCAAGATATCTATCTATTCAGCATGTTTTTCACCATTCAGTATGAATGGATAGAGCTCAAGAAACAATGATTGACACCCAAAATGGTTGAGGATCTAATCAACATTTAGGCCCCAGCTACATAAAAACCGGTCAGAACTTTCCCTCTATCACAAGGGTGTTTTTATTCAGTTCCATGAGGTTATGAAGTGATACACTCGAACATACCTCTAATTGGTGGATACTGGTGCCATCGTTGTGTGGCTCATTTTACCCCAAACTCAACGGCGATTTTCATATCCCAAACTCGCTTGGGAATAGAAGACTAGATTGGGATGCGAAAACCATCCATTGGCCTATTCATAGCAGCACAATTTTTGTGGATATCAAATATGTATGTATGTATGTATGTATGTATGTATGTATGTATGTATGTATGTATGTATGTATGTATGTATATATATATATTGCATACATATATGTACATATATACATAATATATGTATATATATATATATACATAATATGTATATATATATTATATATATATACACAATATCCGGCAAGTATACGCGTTTGCCTTTCTGCCATGTTGGAACATCACAGCAAGGGTGAGAAGATCCACGGATCCGGGCAAATGTCACCAAAACAGGAGTGAAACATGTATGGAAAACTCAGCCACTGTTTTATAGAAAACACATCGAAATTTTCACCATTTCTATCAGAATGATGTATCACATCAACGCCATTTCTATCAGTCCATCCTTAAAAGCCCAAACATTTTGGGCCATTTCCATGGCCGACACCGTGTTTCACACATCGTTTTCAACACCTCGTGTTTTAGACGGACTTTGCGCCTGGCACACGACAAAAATCTCCCCAAGGAAGAGAGCTAAAAACCTCGGAGACGCGGTGGTCGTTGTTTGGTTTTGGAGGCACCTTCGATGGAGGAGGATTTCCACATCCCCATGAAACATGAACCAACAGTTTGCCATGGAAAGATCCACCATAGCCATGGAAAATCACCATTTTTAATAGGTAAACCCAGGTAAACCATCTATTTCTATGGACCATCTATATCATGGCTATGTTAGTCATAACCAGAGGGTATACCATACCATACCAAACCATACCATACCATACAACAGGGGTTGGTAACTGTCCCATTTTGGGAATATTGGACATCACCTGAAAAAGTAGCCATGGCATTGACCATATACCATATACCGATTTTGGTTGGGTGATGTTCAATGGGGACATTTAATGACCCATGAAGAAGCCCTATAGTTTTGATGGTCACCCGCCAGTAAACTAAGATTACGAACTGGAAAATCACCATTCGGTAAATCATCGAAGTACATAAACGGGCAATTTGCAAAGTTGGCCATTACCAGTCAGAACAGCCACAAGAGTACAGAGAATTGCTACAGTCAAGAGAACCATGGAAGATTCATCATCCACCCAAAAAGACTGTACAAGGTACAAGGGTTTGGGTAGTCCATACAGTTTTTTTTTGGCCTTCAAATTACCCTCTGGTTATGTCAAAATTGAAAATGACCCAGTCGAAATCGTGGATTTACCCATTTTTTTTCGCATGGTGGATCTTTCCATCGTTTTCTGTGGCAGTTTATCGCCCGAAACCTCCACCGGGCTCCCCAAACAAGGCGATCATCGCCACGATGCTGAAAGGCCTGGCATCACGCGTCAGTCGTCGACACCACAGAGACACCACGGAGACACGGAGGGACGCCACCCGCCTACCACGAAGGAATTTTCGAACGGCTTGGCCCTGAGCTGCGGGTAAAATGGCTGGGTATTGGCTGGGTAAAGTCCATAACTTAGAAATATGAGAAGTAAAATGAATGGTAAAACTCATGGTGACCTGCAAGATTCCCAGGAAAATTCGATACATTGGGAAGAATGTGGCTGGCTTAACCGACCAAAAATGGGCTTAAACCCTATGCCAGACATACAAATGGACATTTAGCATGCAATCCCTTCTCCAAAACAAATAAATACCCCCCAATCCGTGAACAGACGGAATACATTGACATGGAGGGCTGTTTATGATGAAAGAATGGATTACTCGGAACTCAACGTCGGTACAACACCAACATGCATACACCACGGCTCGCTGGATTTTGGTTGTGAAGGATGAGGCTGACTTGAAATGTGCTGCGAGACCATCATGTCAATAAGGCAACACCCATGAGAAAACCTCAAGAATTCACTCAAATGGCTCTATTTGAGTAGGGAGTCCAGCAGGACCCAGTTTTGACCCAGTGGTACTTGGCCGTATGAAAGGAGATGTCGGTAGGTCAAGTCCTTTTTTTGGGGGTTTTGGTCAAGCCCATTTGGACCTGCAGATTTTGGACATCTTGACATCGGAAACCCTTCTATCTTTCGGGTGAAAACTCCTTCCAGCAGCCCTGGCTGTGTCCCCCGAACAGTCTGTGACTCGATACCTCGCAAGAGCACGCGAGGTGCACAGTGGCGAGGTTTTACCCCGAACCTCCAAAGAAGGGCCAAGAACCGTATCCGGATGTTGACAGGAAGTTGTATAGTGTCCCAAAAAGACTACTGTAGTTTGTCTTATGGCGATGCCAACCCATTTTTAAAGACACTACTTGGATTCATCGTCCCATCCCGAATTTTCTTCACCAACTAGGAGCTCCCACAAGCTTCTCGACAATTTCGCAACCACGTGCAGCCGGATTTCGATCTGGCGAACCCAGGTGGATCACGGGGGAAAAACCGTGGAACATCTAAAGGAAAGGGGACACCAAAGATTCTGAGGAAATGGATGGTTTTATGGAATGGCATGGATCAACTTTTTCAACTTTTTCAACTTTCCAGGGTGCTGAAAAGCACCGCGAGTTTCTCGTAGTCCTCAACCAAGAGATGGTAGCCATGGACAATCTCAGCCAGGCACCGGGGCCTACTTCCTTCTGGTTCCATAGTGGGAGGTGCCATCGACCTTCGTGGCAGCCAGATGATCACGACATCGGTCATTGGGCCTTCCCCAATTTAAGTACCCAGAACCCAGTTGGCAGTGTGTCAAAACCTTGTACCCCTGGTGAAATCATCAAAATAGCTGGTAAATGGATGTTCATCCCCCTAAAAATGGTATCTGTAGGTATGGATCCATACCCAGTCAGTTCTCATCCGCAAACCTTGGTTGGTCGAGAATGTTGAGAGCTGGGTCCCGAAAATTTGGCGTTCATAGTTCGGATCGAAGACGTTTGGTCCCGCTACCGCCAACCGCGACCGCCAACCAACCCGTCAGCAAGCCATTTTTAACTCATGTAATTATTCATTTAGCGCCAAAAACATATGGCTTCAGATCCAAGTTTTTCATCGCCAATGGTCAGATGGGTCCCAGCCATCGTACCACATCTGTGTCTGAGAATTGGTCCAAAAACCATCGATTTATGGTAATGTTTTTTGGGAAAATCATAAATTAGCCAGTGGAATCATAATATGGGGATGGGTTAAAACCTTTAATAATACCATGTATGGATATTGATAGATAGATTAGATTAAACTGGATTGGATTGGATTAGATTGGATTGGATTAGATAGATTGATTGATTGTGATTGAATGATTTGCAGATTTATAGACTTATTTATATATATATATGATATATAGATAGATTGATTGATATATTGATTAGATTGATTCTACATATATATATATATACATTATGTTACATCTATATATATATATAATGTGTAATATATATATATATGTATGTTATGGCATCCCAGCTATTTGAACTTTCCCGTGGGCCCCCAAGGTCCCCGGGTCGCCCCAGCATTCGGGCGGTCTTCTTGGCCGTGCTCGCCGGCGCGGGCGCCGGCGGCTGATCCTCCCGTTTCAAGCGGTGGAGTTCGCAACCATCTACCCTCAATGGGATTCAATGGGATTTATACTGGTTTAATGGGATTTTATAGTGATTCAATGGGATATGAATGGGATTTTATAGTGATTCAATGGAATATGAATGGAATATACCCTCTGGTAATTTGTTACATAGACATAGCTATTGAAAATTGCTATAGAAATAGTGGATTGTCCCATTAATAGCATGGTGAATTTCCATAGTTATGTAAACGTTTACCAGAGGGTACATCTTCTGTAGAAGTATCATTCATCATGTAATATATCCTATGGTAAGTATCATATATCATTATCATATTGGGATCAACTGTAATGGTAAGTATCATGTATCAGAGTATCATATATCTATCATATAGGTATCAATCTGCGATAGGTATCATGGTAAGTATCATGGTAAGTATCATGGTATCATGTGCCATATCACTATCATGTGGCAGTGTCATGCAATTAAATGATATTAAATGCCTCACAACTCGCATAGAAATATCATAAACTAAGGACATCTTGTGAAAATCTGCTGCCATGACTTTACAGCAGCAGAAACACCGTGGAAAATTCACCCAGCCTCTGAGTACGGTGCGATCCTCGCCATCGCCCCTGGAGGCCAGTTTTTTTGGGCGGCACCGAGGGGCACCACCAGCAATCTGTGGGATCCAAGGCCCCAAAGTTATGGCTGAGTCTACCCTCTGGTTATGACGGTTATGACTAACATAGCCATGGTATAGATGGCCCATAGAAATAGATGGTTTACCTGGCTTTACCTATTAAAAATGGTGATTTTCCATGGCTATGTTAAATAACCAGAGAGTAAGTGTATGGCTAAACACCACCTAGAAATGAGATGGGACAAACCTACCATGCCATGGCAAAACCACATGGAAAATGGGAGTTCCAACCATAGACATCGCCGAAACCTTAAGGATCATGTTCGCTCCTTACAACTATAGTAACTAGACAATTCCCAACAAACGACTGGCTGAGATGAGGTTCAGTTGGCACCATTGCTTTTGGATTCTTGGATGTTTTTTTTTTTGCCTCGAAACTGGGAGTTTCCCCAATACCCCGCCTGGCGGCCAAAATGGCCGGTTCCCCGAGCCCCGTTTCCCAAGAGCCCAACCACCACTTTTCGTCGCGGCTTGAGCTGGAAACGGATGCGCAGAGTGCGCAACTCCCTGGTTCTCCCGATACCAAGATATAAATATTCGATGAAGATTGTCCACATATCTTCAAGCCTACTTCCTGGGGGAAACACTGTGTTCTGTTTGGTTTTTCAGGCTTTGGTTTTTGAGTTTGGGTTTTGGGTTTGGACTTTTTGAGATTACAGGGTCTGAGGGTACAGGTTTTGAAGTTTCTTTCAGTGATTTGGTACGAGAAAACCAGGGGAAAATTCTGAGTTTCTGCAGTATGCAAACAATGGCAGAATGACTGGCGGGCAAACCAGGGGCTGCAGCGAAGTGTATCAAACGCTGAGGTTGAAAAGAAAGCGGATGGATGGATGGATGGATGGATGGATGGATGGATGGATGGATGGATGGAGTGGTAGAGTGGTCGAGTGGTTGATTGGTAGAGTGGTAGAGAGGAATGATACAATAGCTGGACCCGCGAACTGACGGGCAGCCACCAAAGACCAAAAGATTGGGACAAAAAAAATATTAAGAACATGAATTGATCAAGCAAGAAGCAAATGCAATAAAGAAAATAAAGCATGATAAAGTCTGTCAACATTGTTGATCTGTACTTGGAAGTGTGAATGCCCAAGTTTGCCGATTTTGCTGAGACGATATCGGCAGGTCAAAAAAAATATATATCATATCCAACCAACTAAAAGATATCAAGATACTAAATCAACTAAATACTAAATACATCTAAATACTATCAACAGACACTAAGTAAGCAACGGAAACCAAGCAGTGACCAGCGACGTCAACGACGAGAACTTTTTTCCTCTGGGGCGTCCCGTCCAAGGCGACCAGGGGCCCGGCCTGGCACAACGGGGGAGTTCACGACTGATATAGTTTTGATGTGGTAAATCCAATCGTTTCATCATAAAGTGCCATAAACCATACCCAATAAAGCCCCATTTTTATGGCTGATGATGATGATGATGATGATGATGACGACGATGATCCCGTCGAACTCTTCCAGAAGCGAAACAAATGGTGGGAGTTGATCAAATTTGATTACCATCCCCAGTCATGGTAAGTTTATGGCATTAGCTTGTCCACATTCATGGGATGAATATCGTGGGGAATAACATCTCAGATGGGTATTTTTTTGCAACCCTTTGCCAACTTCAGAGATGATCCTTTAAAAAAAATGAGCATTTTTCCAATAGGACCAAGTTATTCCAATAGGATTTGTTGGTTGCCATTTACCCTCTGGTAATTTAACATAACTATGGAAATTCACCATTTATAGTGAATTTTCCCATTGAAAATGGTGATTTTCCATAGTTATGTTAGTTTACCAGAGGGTATGCCATCACGATTGAATAACATTATGCTGACTGGGACAGGAAAGGCAACCAAAGTCATTCAGCAAATACGCTGGGATTTTACGTCAGCCTGTGACATGTGGAGGACTCAGATTGCTGGTAGCCTCAGCTGTGGGTATGCTTCATTCGGGATCACTGATGGTCATCTCAGCCAAGTACCAGTGGAAATGAAAAATAAATATTAACACATATACAATGTGTATATATATATATAATTGTATATATAATTGTATGTATGTATATATATATATATATAATTGTCTAATAACCAGAAAATGTTGAAATATATTGCCTATTGCCCCAGTGCAAATGAGTCGTGCAGTCAGCTGCCCTGGAGATCCCAGTGACACTGGTCAGCATGCCCCAGTCATGGCTAGTGTTATTCCCACATTAACCATAAATATAGATATATGAAATATGCCACCATATAACCATAGATAATACTATAGTATAGATATATTCTATAGATAGTATTATCCCCATAGATATACTATAACTATAGTGATTTTACCCACATTACAATGCACGTGGGAAAAGAAACGTCAGCGTCCCAGGACCTTCAACCAGGCCCTGGCTCAAAAAGACGTCACGCGGGACACACCCCTGGCGCGGGATTTGCAAATGAGCAGTGTTCAACAGCTTCATGGATTGTGATCATCCCCAATACATATACATATACCTATATATATATATATACACATACATATGTATGTATGTATGTATGTATGTATGTATGTATGTATGTATGTATGTATATATATATATGTTGGTTAGTATAATCCCCTACAATGATCAAGCAACAAGGGTTTTCAACAGACAAATAGATTCCAAGGCTCTCTTTGAATGTTGCTCTTCATCACTCGACCCCCTAAGGTTCCTGGTACCGGCTGTCTTGCTACTCACCTTTAAAGTTGGACCATGGCTTAGGAGAGTTACCCAAATCCAAGTCCCATCACTTATAGTATCAACAGCAACTAGATCTCCATATTTTTCATGGTTAAATCCATTGAAATGCCAGCAAAATCCCATTTATAGCAACCCCAACAGATAGAAAAGGTCAGATCGAATCCCAAAATAGCTGGTGGACATCTTCTTGTCGGTTACCCACTAGCCGGGGAAGCCTACCGGTGCAGCATCAGAGACCAAGGCGACCGCTGTTCCTCGAAGATGCTGGCAGCTGGATGAGAAACACCCAATGTATACGTTGACAAGCTGCGGGGAGAACGAAAAATGTATGTATATTCATATATATATATATATATTGTGTGTGTGGATGTTATTATACATATCATCTATTATATAGATCAACAAAGGTATCATATTAGATGCATGTCATGCATTTCAAATCTTTGTATATATATATATATATGAGTTTACATCATCATATGATATCCATCTCATCCATCGATGTTTGGCCGCCCAGTCACAGAGCACCAGCGGTGCTGTCCAGATCCCAAGATCCCTGAGCATTTCGTGGTGGAAAAACTGGGCAATTCACGGGGGGTTTGATTGGAATGAATGGGAATATAGGCTATGGAAAATCACCATGTTTAATGGGAAAACTCACTATTTCTATGGCCATTTTCAATAGCAAACTGTTAGTTTACCAGAGGGTAGATTTTTTTGTGGTGATTTTTCGTGAGAATATCAATGGTATATAGTGAGAATATAACGGTGATATAATGGGAATAGATTTGCGATATAATGGCGATATAATCGGAATATAATGGCGATGTAATGGGAATATAATGGTGCTATAATTGGAATATATGGTTATATATAGTGGGAATGAATGGAAACACAGTGGGATTTCATGGGAATACAATGGGATATATAATCGACCTGAAGTCGTAAGGGGTGCGCTTCATGGTCAATGGTCAATGGTGATGTCACCTATTCAACGTATGACCGTATAGCTACTTTTGTATAGCACGGGGTTAACACCCATCAGTTGGATATAACCCCTATAATGGTTGTATAACCACTACAAGTAGTGGACTGCTTCCCCAGGTAATTCGTGAGGATATCATCTCTAGCATTATCTTTTTTGGTCATGTCGGGATGTTTATCAATCCAAAAAAATCCATCAAAATCTGTCTTGGTCGTTGTCGCTTCCCCGCCCTGTCCTGGGGTCCCTCCCAGCCCTCTGGGAAGAGAGGGAAGAGAGGTCCCTTCACCACCAAGTTGTGGTGCACCATGCCTGCGAAGATGTGCCGCAAGGTAGGTTGACTCGCCACAGAGTAATAAATTATCACTAAAATTGGTACCAACCCAGTAAATAGACTGAGGGTTATTAATCGTCGGTTAACAGTACATCTCATTTGTACTATGCAACCTGCGAAAATATATGACGGATGGAAATACTCTGGAAATGAAACTACTTAATGCAAAACTTCCCCACAGTTGAAACACAATGGCTAAATTGGAAGTGTCTTATGTTCGAGGCGAGGTAGGTAGGTAGGTCGGTCGGTAGGTCGGTGGGTGTGTGTGTGTATATGTATAGATGGATGGATGGATGGATGGATGTATGGATGGACGGACGGACGGACGGATGGATGGATGGATGGATGTGCGTGCGTGCGGGCGGGCGTACGTACGTACGTACGTATGTATATATATATACCATCTGGTTATTTAACATAGCCATGGAAAATGGCCCATTTATAGATGGTTTACCTATTAAAAATGGTGATTTTCCATTTATAGAGGGTATATGTATAAAGTATTCTATGTTTGTGCACTTTTCACTGCGAACTTAAGCCATTTGTTCCATCATCTCATCAGAAATTCCCGCCTGAGAAGGCCAACATGGCCAGCCGACCATTATTCAGCTCCTGTCCCGGAGTCTGACAGGAAAATGTTGGATTCGAAAGGTTGCCTCAAGGAAAAGATATCAAGAAAAATCAGAAAATCCATCCTTAGTCATGTGCATAAATATACATATTCTGTATATGTATACATATATATATATACATATATATATATATATACATAGAGAGAGAAATAGAGTTACCATGATATACATATATGTATATACATGTGTATATCATATATATATATACATACATGCATTTCTGCAGGAATAGATGGGATGACCCCCACTTCGCTTTCGGTACCTGAAACTCCCATGGATTTCAACATGTTTCCCTAAAAAATCGCCATGCTTGGGTATCACCTGTGTTTAGACAACACAAATAATCATGATTCCTTCCTGGCTGCTCCCCTGGCTACGGATCCTTGGTTGCAAGCACATCTGCATCAGCCTTGTTGCTTGGCAAGAAGCGTTTGCCGAAGTTCCTGAGTGGCAGGACCAACATCTCCACACACAAGACGGGTCGCCAGGAGCCACAAAAGTTTTAACCTAAGATTCTTTAAACCAATACTTGCAACTTCACCACCAATCACTTCATTGCTCAAGAAATGGGTCATCTTGAAAACTTCAGCACCAAGGAATCACATCTATAAATCCCTAGCCTATTTACCCCAATAAACCCCAATAAACCTATTTTTGGTGTAAAATCCCATGACTTTCCTTTTTGCATTAGCCTATGCACCCCAATAAACCCCAGAAATCCCTGCAAAAAAAAAAATCACCATCCCCCGGCTCGAACAAAATCGCCCAAGCATCAGATCACCTGGGGCTCGCTTGGCTCCTTCGCCCTCGAACATGTCCAACATGGTGAGCCTCAGCCAATCTGATCTGGACGTAATCTGATCTAATCCAACCTAATCTATGATGGAAAATGGATATGAATATATATATATATACAACATTAAAACATAAGTATGTTTTGATGTGGGGTATGATTCTGTATATACAGTATACCTTATTGTATCATGTTGGCATTGGAAGGTGGGGAGATAGAATTCCAGCAATGGAACTCCTACTTGTCTTGAAAAAAACAAACACTCAGATTGACGTGCAAAGATGCTAGAGGTACATGGAATCGTCAAATTTGACATTTGACCCCTGAAGAACCCAGGCCGATTCTGCATTCAAGCATTGAACCCAGTTTCTGCCCCTGCCCATATGGGTGCCCTACAAGTGTTGAGGACCACGAGTAATTTTACATGGTTGTCGGTTGCTGATGTTCTATGTCTCCAGCCCCCCCAAAGCGGTGTCCACATGCCAAACGTCCAAGGGTGCCATTCCACTTCCCACATGCAAATTTCATGCAGCTCCCAGACTTCACAAGAAACACACATAGAAAACCCGTAACGTTCATGGTCAAAATCATTTTCGTTTCTCATATGTCTAAAAACAAACCAAAACTCAAAAATCATCAAAAATCTATGTCATTGATAAATGCAAACCTTTACATGTCCCATATTTCCCATATTTCCCATATTTCCCATATTTCCCATATTTCAATGACAAAAATAGCATCCTCCCGTGCCACGATCTAGAAACTTTCCACCATAGCTAGAGCTTTCGATGTATCCCGCAGCCACCAGCAACAGCGCGGTCATGTTCACCGGCGCCACGTAAATGGCCTCACCATCCGTCAACCGCACACAATTGTTTAGATAAATATCATGCTTGTTGTGATGATCACTATCATCTCTATTATAATGTGTATGTGTGTATATATATTTACATATTATCATGTATGTATGTGTATGTGCATGTGTATGTACATATATATATATATGTATATATATATATAGATAGATAGACGTATATATATATAGATATATATATATATATGTCTATCTATCTATCTATATATATATACATATATGGGGCTCGTCTTAAAATGGGGTATCCAATGGAATTCCAGATTGATTCCACCACGTTATACTCCCTGTTTTTTGGAGAAAGCCATAGATGTGAAACCCCCTGCCTCAAGGTTGCTGAAAATAAAGACATGATAGGGTAGATGTTGGTATGATTCCCTATTGGCTTCACTACATGAGTATCAAATACCCCCCCCGCGCGACTGGCCCACACAAATGAAGGGCAATCCAGTACTAAACAATGGTTTTGTTTGGGGGCTAGATGATATGTGTGCAGCTGCACGTGTGTACGTACTGTATATATACTTTGTATGTGTATGTATATATATATATAGATATGGTCCAGCGTTCCAACCCCCCTCCCCCCCCGCCATGGTCATGGGTCAGCCATAATACTGTCACCCTCCCCCCCACTGTGGTGTGTATGGTCGGTCTGGTATGGCATGTTTGGAATGTATGGTATGCTTGGTATGTATGGTAGGTATGGTATGTATGGCATGAATGGTTGGTATTGTATGGGTGGTAGGTATGGTATGTAAATCTGTTGGGTATGGTATGTTTCATATGACAGTATGTATGGTCTGTGTGGTACGTATGGTTGCTATGATGGGTGTGGAATGTTTGCTATATAAGGTGGGTATGGTATGTATGGCATGTATGTTTGGTATTGTATGTATGATAGGTGTGGTAATCATGTTTCATATGTACGGTATGTGTGGTATCTATGATAGGTATGATAGGTATGGTATGTATGGTCAAAGTTCGTCTGGCATGTCTGGTATGCATGGTATCATTGGAGTGTATGGTAGGTACGGTATATGTTAAACACATGTAGTGTTGTGAGAGTACACGGGTAGCGAATAGGAAGTAGATACATAGCACATGTATATATGCTTATAGGCATATGCCTATAGGTAGCACGTAGGTACTTTGAGACTTTTGAGGGAGTATGTGTGCTACGTAGGTCGTCCTAGTAAATGCGAGGCTGGTAGTCAGAAATGCTGCAAAGACTTGGCAAATACGAGGCTGGACCTCAGAAATGCTGCCAATAGCTAGCAAATAGAAGGGAAGAGGGTGCTACCTGGGGACCCATACCATTGGGAACACGGAACACGAGACCATATATATATATACATACATACACACTGTATCTGTGTATATATATATATGTATACCGTGTATCTGTATCTATGTTTATATATATATACATACATTCTGTATCTGTATATATATATATACACTGTATATATATATATGTATGTACACATATGTTCCAGGTCATATACAAAAAGAGAGACAGAGAGAAGAAGAAGAAGAAGAAGAAAAAGAAGAAGAAGAAGAGAGGTGCCATTTCAAGTTGGAAAAAAACCTGTAAAAATCCCCATGTCTGATGGAAAAACCACCCGTTGTCCGTGACATCCAGCGCCTGTAGCGCATCCTCGGCGGCAGGAAAGCCTGGCTGGGTTTGGGCGTCGCTTCCGGGCGAGTCAGGCTGAATTACAGACTTACCCCACTTATATATATATACTATGAATATGTACATATACAGTATACAGGATATAGGCACTTTCATACACGGGTTATCATCCAGTTACTATTTGTGGGATACGCATCAAAACACCCCTATCTCTTCATTGTTGGGGGTTACTCCTGCATTTATCAACCAAACAAAGGAAAGTTTAATATGCCCTCTGCGGAACCAACATCCCGAATCGAAACTCATCGAAACTCCTGATGGTTCAATTTTCACTACGCTCGAGAAGGTTATGCATTCATGGCAATGAAAGGTTGCTCGAGAAGCAAAGCTGTTGAGTGTGAAAATCTTTGAGTGTGAAAATCTTAAAAAGAACATGGGGTCAAAATATGTTGCAATTCGATCTGTTTTCAAGACTGTAAAATTCCGGTCCAGGGTTACACATCATTGCCCTTCCGCGACCTGGGAATTGCACGTATTGTTCTGCCACAAAGCCAATAGTTGCCAGCCTGCGACCAGATCTAGAGAAGCTGAATCCCCCTCAAACCCAATGGTTAATCGGTCAATCATCATTTTCCGTACGAAATCAGCCATGATTTGGGGGTCCCCCATTTTCGGACACACCCCTCTTGCCAATGGGTTGGGTTCGTCATGTTCAGGATTTGGGAATAATCTTGTGCATGGCTTCCAGTTGCCTTTTTTTGCACAAGTGGATGAGGTTGTGGCTCGAACTTCGTAACGATCCAAAATGAAGCATCCAAAATCAGAGAATCCTGTCCTCTTCGCATTAAACTATCATGAAAAACCCTGGTTTTTTCTATTGGACAACGAATCTTTTTGGGTCCCCTCCGGGAAAACCTTTGACACTTGGTGGGATCAAAGCTCCGATCCCGCTGAAGGCTTCTCTGTGGGATTTAAGTGGCTTTTATGACTCTTATAACTTGTGAAAAAAATTGTGCAATCCCTCAATCTTCCTAATAGATCCTAACAAACAATGGAAACCATTCAAAAAAAAATGGCAGGCAGCTCGAGTATTCTTCACTTCAAACCCTGAGAATTTTTGAACTTAACCCGGTGATTTTTTGGAAGTTGTTTGCCCATTTAAGCTATTCTCTTACACAACTTGTTTCTTCAGGAAAATACAGCCGGTGTCACTCACATTCACACTATGTCTGCATGAAATGTTTGGTTTGACAATTTTATACATTATATCACTATTCTCAAGGCCAAATCCATACTATATTGTTGTTGATATCCCATCATATTCCCAGTCTATTCCCATAAAATGCTCGGTGTTCGAAATATGACTTTGTCTGAAAATGGGCTATCCCTCAAATGTATGGCTATTTACGTGTGAAAATAGTGATAAACCATAAAATTTGGGGATATTCACTCATTCTCCATTCATGTGAAAATAAGTTTAAACCAATAAACCAAAATAGTGAAAATAGTGAAAATAGTAAAAATAGTGAATATAGAGAAAATAGTGAAAATAGTGATGTTCGATTTTCAGACAGAGCCATATCCACTCATCTCCCAGTCCAAGCGACATGCACACGCGGCCGTGCTTCAATTCCGACTCTCTCAGCCACTTCACCTCAGCAAAAATCCACCAGGCGACCCCACCTGGTTCCAGCGAAAGATTGGGGGTATATAATTGTCAATGGGAATTCCAAAATCCCAAAATGGAGGTACTGTACCATATAAGGCCATATTTTGGGGGTATATCTCCTTACATAGGCCTTACATAGGCCTCATATATGGTAGGTACCTCAATTTTTGGATCCTGAAATTCCCATTGAAATTGGCGCACAAAGTGGGTAGGTGATGGGTAACCCGAATGGCTGACTGTTTTTTCGGGAAACCACCGGATCACCAGTGTCAGACCCGCACTGCTGCTAGACACTTGGATTTACCAAACCAATTTCCCCTAACAAACCATGTGGTGACATTGTTAAACCGGGCATAGTGGTACGTATCATGGGATATAATGGGATATGCGACCAACAAGATGATATGGATTGGGTTCAAAAACTAGGATACCAGTGAAGCCACAACTTGTTGGGTCATGAAAAATGATGACTGCTCCCAAGCTAGCTGGTCTCCACCAAAAAACAGATGCTCAGCAACTTGGTTTGATTTTGTGGGCGAAATTATGTGGATACGTCACGCTACACTACAAACTTTGGTATGGCCGAAAATTGGTTTGCTCAAATTGGTTTGTGGGAAAGCATCCTGAATCCTATGGTTTGAAAGTTTGAAACTTCATTTTCCCCGCCGAAAGAGCCATGTTTGTTGATGTTGCTGTAGGAGACCACGTTGAGCAGCCAACTTTTTGCGCGACAACTGGATGGAACCAATTTGACCATGTGATTTGGTCATGGATCTGATACATGTTCCACATGTAACTTGGATATGATTTCCCGAATCTCTATATAAAGTGTATGCCTAAACATATATCCTTGGTAATCAAACATGACAATGGGAAACATCGCCATGACTAGTCCCAGAGGTCAACGATCTGCCCAGCTGCCCGTTTTTTACATCTTCTGATATCAAAGACATATCGAAAATATATCAAAAAAGATGTGTATAAATGCTGCAGAAAGCACATCGTCTGATGAAGAGTCAATGGTAGATCATGACAGTCACATTCTCATACATAACATATACTCACATATGTGTATATGTATATATAATTATATATATATAGAGAGAGAGAGACACACACTAAGATTCTCTTATATATATATAATCACTATATATATATATATATATTATATATATGTTTATCTTTAAAAAAACATAGACCCTAGGGATGGACTAAGTTTGGAGTTCTCGTCCAGGGTACCCTGGACCAATGGCAGGGTGTTTCTAAAAAAAACGTGTGTGTTTTTGTCAAAGCTATGAAAATTGTGGCCCTATGCCATTCCATTATACTGGTTAAGAAGTATTCCTATCATGGGTTCCTTCATCTCCATAAAACCAGCTACATGTTGATCCACTATAGCCAAACAACCATCATTTATCAATTTAGCCAGAAATATCGATAGTTGCCCCATACAACGGTTGGTGTACTGGAAATCCCACGAACATCTCGTTCAACTCACTTCACCAAGTGGCATCAAAGGTATCAGAGAAGCCCAGGGGATCGAACTCGGCCTCGCCACCCACCAGGCCACCCAAGTTCTGCGGCTTAGGCCTCAGCTGATGCTTCAAATGCCATGGGATTTAGATGGATCTAGGGTGGTTTCCCGATTTATCAGGTACAAGCCCATCTTTCCTATATAAACATCACATTTGGTAACTGTGGAGACACCGCTATTGATCCACTGTGTAACGCCAAAAGTGTCCAGCAATCTGGGGGTCCCGGAACCCCGAAATACCGAGATTTCGGGTCCCTTTTTGTGAAGATTTGGGGCCCTTTTTAATGTCGACGAAACAATGGGTTTTTCGAGTCAAATTTCAAGGCACAGGGGACAGTTTTTGGGGACCTAATTCTGATCCGCTGATCCTCCCAAAAGTATAGCAAAAATGGACAATCCAAACATCCGACCAAAAAAAAAACTTCAAACCAGGATGGTTTTGCAAAAATGAAACATATTTTGCCATGAATTCATTGGAGGTCTCCCAATTTGGGTTTACATCTTTGCAGCACCACCCCCCATCCAGTTGGATGGCACCACCAGTTGTTGAATTCTCCACCCATCCATGAAATATCCTTGAACTTGCCGTGCAAACAGGACTGAACCAAGTTGGAGAATCCTAGACCCGCCAACACTACAATGGTTATATATATATATATATGTGCATGTACGTACGTATGTATGTAACTGTATGTAACTGTGTGTGTAACTGTATGTAACTTGTATGTATATTATGTAACTGTATGTAACTGTAAGTGATTGTATGGAACTGTATGGAACTGTATGCAACTGTATGTAACTGTATGTAAGTGTATGTGACTGTATTTATTATACCAAAATGTTTACAACATGTTGAAATGTGTCGTGCTTTTCCCAGCTTTGTTCCCCTGGTTTTTCCCAACCTTTCCCCATCTGACACATTTCGGGTCCCGACAGAAAGGGCATGCTCCTGCTGCTGGAGGCCCTACGAGCCTGGCTGCTTGGTCTTTCAAAAAGAAAACACACAAACAAATCATCCTACCATGGCTGGTTCATCGACCAATATTAGTAAAGCAATGTCATAAACCAACCATATGGATTTATGGTTTACACCCATAAAAGTGGTAAGTTATTGGGGAGGGTGGATCCTATTGCTTTGCCCACATGACATCAACATCGCAAAAAAACATCGCACCGTGGCATGACGCGCTGCCCCACGGTCTGCCGCGCCGCAGAAGCGGCTGGAAGTGGCCTGAGGATCATCCATAGATTATTGATACCATTATAATCCCATTCTGTACCAACTGTTACCAACAAATAATGGGATTGTAATGGGATGAACAATGGGATAAACAATGGGATAAACAATGGTTTATCATGGTTTATCCCAATATAATCTCATATACCATCTGGTTATGACTAACAGTTTGCCATGGAAAGATCCACCATGCTATTAAGAACGGTGTGTACCATCTATTTCTATGGGCCAATCTATACCATGGCGAACTGTTAGTCATAACCAGATGGTGAAGGATGATCCATTGATGAGAATGACCACCAGAATCCGAAAACCGTCGAATCTAGAGAATCCTGGATCCTAACACTGCGCGGATATTAGTTATAAGTTATATGTGGTGGATATATCATAACACAACTGCTTCGTGGTGCAATTTCACCATCTTGAAAAATGATGGAGTTCGTCAATGGGAAGGATCAATTGTCCCATATATGAAATGGAAAACAAAAAATGGTTGAAACCACCAACAAGATAATATGTATATATATATATGTATATGTATTTATGGTGGTTTATGATGAGTTTACGTCCTTGCCCGCGTCCTGCTGCGCATCTCTGGGGACGGCGTTGACCACTGCATCAAAGAAGGGCCACTTCTCCTGGTGACATGACGTACCACCGGTGAAAGCGCCAGTCTTATGATTGGCATCTGGAGATTCCGGGTCTTATCTGTTTTCATATATATATATACATATATATATATATACACATATATATATACATATATATATACATATATATATATATGTTCATATGGTATTTTATAGAAATTGCTAAGACGTCAAGAGATTCTGATAAATCTTATGAGCTCAGACATTCCAGTGTTCTGGAAAGACCTGCAAGTGTTTCTTTTCTGCACAGCATGCGCCGTGGAAGGTTCATTTTATACATATATATATATATATATGTACATATGTAAATGATCCGAAAACATGTCTCTCTCTCTCTCTCGTTAAGAGCGCGCATCAGCCTCAACCTTTGGGGAAACTCCCAAAATAGACTAGACATGACAAGACCAACGGATTCTGGGTAGCGCCTAGGTTCAGAACATCAGCCATTGAAACCTTGGATCCTAGTAGGGCTACTAATCCCATCCTGTGGGGAATCCCATGGCTGACTCATGGCTTGCCTAAGCATTAACTTTTTCTCCATGCTATAAACCAGTATGTTTACATCATATATATATATATTCACCCAGGTTTTAGGTTACCGCTATTTACTGCTATATATATATATACGTTTCATCCAGACCAACCAATGTCAACTTATAATGATAAGTGTGTTTGCCCAGGATGTTCTTATAATGATCATCGAACTATTTAATACTATTTATACATTTTGTCGTTGGCTGCACAAAATGCAATTACAAAAATTGCCATGGTCCGAGCTTCGTCACACACGTTGCCATCATACATTATGACATTTCCTTAGTGTTGCTCCAACCTTTCTTATCACAGCCAGGGAGGATTTCTGAACCTCATCCAGTACCCCCCCTAACATTCACCAACCAGACTGGGTCAGCCCCTGACAAACCCAGGATATCAAAGCTGTGTCAGATCCTGCGTCAGCACGCCCACAGTGGCAATGCCTGCTAGCACGCAGGTCCCCCAGTTCGACCAACAATGGTCCAGGGGATCATCAATCATGTTGATTGCGAAGGAAATCTAGACATGTCCCATTTCTGTTGGATAAAATAATGGGTAAAATATAGCATTATCTCGCATTAAGATCCATTAAGTCCCTATGTTTGATGCTTAAACCATCTTAACTTGTCGCACATTGAGCAGTGTTCAAAAGCCTTTGTTCTTTTTGTTGGGCAATCCCCAATGAACCAAGTAGTAGAAGCTCCCCTTAGTAAGTAATGAACAATATGCTCAGTTGGATTTCTCACCATTTTTTCTGCCATTGGTGTTTTCTCACCACAGCCATGGGTAATCAAACATGGTGGAAAATCCCCCCACAGTTGCAGATGTTTTGCTCATTGAAATGCCCATTTTTCTATGGGGATGTCCAGCCATGATGCCACGGAAGGGCCACGATTTTAGCAGCGGCACCTGAAAAGGCTAACATCGCCAGACGCCCATTGCGAAGCTCCTTCACCTGAGAATCTGGCTGCTTTGTGGGGGTCTCCATGATGGCTTATAACAATCCCTATATATATATATAACACGGTATTATTAGGTGACTAGGTGGTATTACCCCTATCTTATCATCTACCAGTTAGTATTTTGGGCACTGCGTTTCGGCGTTTCTTTGCTGATCGTGAAAGAAATAGGTCGGTCAAATCATTCTGGTGGGCCCGGGCGATAATTGCGGCCTATACTCACATGTATCATGTTTGTGTTTATTTGATGAATCTCAACTCTTAAGATGTATGGAAAGTGCTGGTTGCTGTTGTACAACGTCACAAGGATCCGTGCTCAGGACATCCTGATTCTTTGGGAAGACAGTGGTCTGTCTGGAATGCGGGTTTTCTACATCTGCATAATGTCCTAGACCAAATACAATGTGTTGAAGTCTGCTAACATATTCTGGTGTTTTGTTTCTTCATGCACCGTTGCATGTCAACGCTGGTGGCACTGATAGTAACGGCCATCTGTTAAGTGTCGAGGCTCGAAAAATCTGCTGAATCCAGCGTGTGTCAAGTCCCTGTGTGCACCCGAAACTGTTACAATTCATTGTCAAAATGACCATCTGTGGGTCCGAATGTTTTCTCGACTTTTGACCCATACCCAAGTGCTTGATCTTCCAAAAATATGATGAATAGCCGATCAAGTCGAGACAAAATTCCCTTTGAGAATGTCCACCATGGCAGACGGCTACCGGTCAAGCCAAAGTTGCAGCTCTTTGAATGTCAGTTGGTTCTGCAGGTTTTTTCATGAAGGGACTTTGCCCTGACTCCGCTGAAAAAAAAATGCAATTTCCACATGGCCATTCTGAGGAGATGTTTGCTGCTGGAAAGAAAAATGTTAAGTAGATAGATCTAGATTATCAATAATGTGGGTAAAACAATGATAAACAATCCCCCAGTCATCACCGTAAATAGGTGGTATGGTTACCATTCCCAGTCATGGGTGGTTTATGACATTGTTTCTCCCACATTACAAACAACAAATCAAACCTGGTAGCTTTGCCGTCCATGCCAAGGCCACCCCGGCACCTGCATGTCATATTGCCCCTTGGCATCTGCTGGGTAGAAGCCACGCAGCCCAAAATCTCCAGGTTTACGGTCCTTGGGAATCAAAATCATCAAAGATCCACCAAAGAGATTCATTCCTGAAGGATCTTGGAAGTTGTTGTTTTTTATTCATTCATCCATGAACATGAACTTATAAAATTGTACTACATCATCATCTGAAACTGATCATGGACACATGTTCCTGCTTATTAGTGAACTACAATGGTGGGACCCAAGCCATCAAAATGCTTCCCATGTTGGCAAGAAAAAAAAACAGAAACTGCAGATCTACAGAAAAAGGCTTGGAAGCTGCCTGGAAACCCACTGTGTATTTTTCCCCGACCAAAAAAGGCTGTCTTCTCGGCTGGTTTGCTATCTGGTCGGGTGGTAATTCACGGGTAATCATGCAAAATCTGAGCGAAACCCATATTAATGTTGCCATCGCGCATACTGGCATACTGCATGCTGGCATACTGCATATTCAATTTCACATATGGTGGTTTCCATATGGTGGTTTCCATAAATGGGGGTACCCCTAAATCATCCATTTTAATAGGATCTTCCCTCAAAAACCATGAATTTTTGGGTGCCCCCATTTATGGAAACCCCCTTTAATAATATACATGGCAATCTCCTCACAATATCCTCAGAACTTTCTCTCTTGTGGTTGGCATGTTTTCACCATGTCTTGGTCCAAGTCACAGTCTTGCCCTCCTGCATGTTGATGATGGCCAGGAAGCCAAAGAGTTCCAAGTAGCCCAGCCACACCAGGATCCTCAGCGCAGAGTGGAGTTGGGAACAAACATTCTATCTATCTATCTATCTGTCTGTCTGTCTGTCTGTCTATCTATCTATCTATCTATCTATCTATCTATCTATCCATATATATATGGTACATATATATATATGTATATATGTATATGTATATACATGTGTCTGTATGTGTATATATATATAATGTTTTGTTTGGAATAATGATATAAGTCATTCAATGAGTCGATAAATCGTATTTGCGCATCTTATTTGCGTTTGATTTGTAGGATCCCTCAACCTGCCAGGAACAGCCTTGCGTTGATACAAATCGGCGGGAGTGGGAGGGCGTTGTGTAACATTCGGTTTGCATTGCTTCATGAATGTACTGTAGTTGCTACTTTGATGTTGCTTTGTCACATGCTAGCTTGGAAATGTTGCTTCATCTATGATGGTTTCGTTGAATTGCGTTGTGGAAAATGTCACAAGGTTAACGGAGCCAAGAAACCCACAGGGGCATTCAAAAATCCGTTGTGGATATAACAGGACAAAAGTGCAAGGTCCAAATGCAGGGGCCTTCCCAAGAGATTTGAACATGTTGACTTAAATTGTCATTCGAGATGAGCATTTCATCAATGCCAAGTTCCAATAGGCACTAAGAGATGCCTCCAGAGAACATATGCACAAGTCAATAATGATATGTTTTGAAACGGACATATGCATTAAATGTCCGCACCGGTATTGAAAGCTTACAAGTGCTGTGAAGTTGATGGACGTGATGAAAACCCTGGTAAAACACCATTAAAATCAGTGAAGATCAACTTCCGGGGAGCCTCCAGCATTTTGATTACATTGAGTACATCATATACATAATAGGTGTATATATATATATATTATAAATACTTTACTTTATTCATGTGCTGTAGTGTATGAATTCAGGTGTGTATATACATATATATATATATACACACACACTGCTGGTAGATTTGTGTCAAAGGGCCAGGCGGACGCCCTTTGAACTCACATCCGATAAGTTTGTCTTTTGGTGGATCGTGGTAGTCTGTGAGCCAACCAACACTTCGTCCCAAACTGACTTCAATTGTCCAAAAGAAAGGCATTTTTTCACCACCAACATCCACCAACAATCTTTACTCATTCATATTCACCAAAAAAAACACCATCCATATCTGTCCTTCTCTCTACTGGTTGCTATAAGTCCCGAAATCATGGTTTCAGGCCCCAAGCGCCCCGCGGTTTCAAGGCGCTGGGGCATGGATCCAAACTTCACCATGGCATCATGCGCCTCAATGGTGGAGACCTGGAAGGCATCACCGGGCACTCGGAGGCCTCGGCACTTGGATGGCTGTTGGTTTTCTTGGGAAAATTTCTAGGATGCTCCATGCCAGTGTTACAGTTAATATATATTGACATCAGAAATTGGGGTATCGACTCTGTCAAATCATCCACCAGATGTAGACCTGAAAAATCTTCCAATGGTTTTTTTTTGCCCGGGCCAAAGCCATGGCCAGTGGAGTGAAATAGGGTATCGTATTTCTTGGAAAAAAACATGCGCGTGTTAAAAACAAAAACAAAAAAATGATTTTACGCCGGAAACTTCACACCAGTGATTTGTTTATTTTGAAGGAACCCCCTTTATCTCTTGCAGAGAAATCCGCATTCCCTGAGAAATCCATCTTTTGTGTCAAAATTGGGTAGCCCTGTTTACACCAGGATGGTGTCCTAACAATAAACCAGTCCATCGATCCCCCAGGTCTAATCAATGGCCCTTTTCTGGCTCGTGAAATCCCCATCATATCTGGATATGTTATAAAGAGTAATTCCCTCACCTCCTTGGGCCATGGATTGGGATAGCCCAATCCAATTCCCATCATTGATAAAAACTATGTCAACCATACCTCCATATGTTCCATCCCTTAAATCCCATGCAAATGCCATCAACGTAATCAGCCATACTCTCCCGTAATCAACTCTGGTTTGCTGGACAATCTCCCTTCATAGATGATTTCGCTATATGGCAGTGTGTCAAAACCTTGTACCCCTGTAGTTCACATCAAAATAGCTGGGATTTATGGATGTTCATCCCCTAAAAATGGTATTAATAGGTATTGACCCATACCCATATAAACCTCCATTGATCTGGTTTTTCCCCATATCTTCCTATGGATTTTCCCATGAAAAGCCTAGGGATTTTCCCATCAAAAACACCATGATCCGTGATCCGTCCCAGGTACCCAGATCAGTCGTGATCCATCCCACAGTTGCGAGCATGGCCACGCGGCCATGCTTCAGCTCTGCCTGGAGCGAGCTCTTGGGGAACTTGGGGGTGACAAAACCTGGTGGTTGACCTACCCCTCTGAAAAATATGGTTAATATATGGTTAATATATGGTTAATATATGGTTAATATATGGTTAATATATGGTTAATATATGGTTAATATATGGTTAATATATGGTTAATATATGGTTAATATATGGTTAATATATGGTTAATGATGATTAATAATAATCTGGTTGGTGGTTGGATAAACCCCTCTGAAAAATGATGGATTTCGTCAGTTGGGATGATGACATTCCCAATATATGGGAAAATGAAAAAATGTTCCAAAGCACCAACCAGAAACTGTTGTAACTTAAGGATAACCTTTGGAGAATTGACTATCACGAATTTGTGATTGAATATCACTGTCATAATGTTTCACTAGTTAATAGCTATCAATACCATTAGTTGACAATGACGAATAGTGGTGGTAACCCCCAAGAAAAATAGAAAAGTGAATCGTCAATCATTAAATTGAGATTGATTTCTCTATCTTTTTGGGGATGATCATAAGGATGATGATTTAATGTTCTATTCCATTGTTGTTTAATTGCTATAAGTTCAGGATAACTTAAGATAATCATAATATTTAGCGTTCATGGTTGTTAAGTTGTCTAGTCATGTCTAGTCTACTAGAACAAAGAAATAACATCATGAGAATACTGGTCTATTAATCTGGGGAAACCTCCAACATGACGACAACAACTGTCCCAGTGAAAAAAAAAACATCTCCACCCGATGAAGCTAAACCTGGTGATGTGCCGCCATCCTTTACCAACAGAAACATCAGATTGGGGCTATGTCCAACAAGAACATTGCCTTGCTTTCCAAGCAAAAGTCGAGATTTCAACCCAAATTTAGATGATGAAATGATGAACCAAAAGTTGTACTTGAAGGGGCACTGCTCGCATTCTTAACAACCAATCGGCCTTAAAATCGTGAATCCACTAAAAATTGATGCTATCCATAAATTTACGGTAAACCCCAATATGGCTGGGATTTATGGATGGTGTTTTTATTTGGGAAAGATGTATAAAAAACACATCCATCAATGGATCCACTTTACCATAAATCCCGGCGATCTTTGGGGCTTTTCCCGGCTCGCCTCCCGCAACCAACGGATGTCAATGGCTAAAGAGAAACCCATGGGGTCGAAGCCCTCTTCCTCACCTGGAAAACCGTGGTTTTGGGTCGGAGCATGGCTGTGGTACCAGAAAAATGTTGGGAATATCGATGAAATGTTGGGAAAAAGCTGGGCAAAGCCAAGAATCTTGCGGTTCATCATCATGTTACCTGTGGAAAAATCAGCATTTTGGGGATATTGCCCAGTTTCAGACAAACCCAAATGTCGGCCAATGTTATCCGAAAAAGGAAAAACAACCATGTTCTTCATGGACGCCCCGAATTCCATGGTTTGTTGAACTTCATGTCCTCCATGACTACCCTCTGGTAATTTAACAGTTCGCCATGGAAAATCACCATGCAATTAATGGGTAAATCCACTATTTCTATGGCCATTTTCAATAGCAAACTGTTAGTTTACCAGAGGGTAATCCATCAAACGGCCAAACAAAAACAATCTTCAAATTCTTCAGGATGACTCCATCTTCCACATCTTCCATGGCCAAGAAAAAACCATCTAGACAACACAATCTGACAATCTCCCAATTCTTCAGGACTTACCCTCTGGTTATGACTAACATAGCCATGGTATAGATGGCCCATAGAAATAGATGGTTTACCTTTGAAAAATGGTGGATCTTTCCATGGCAAACTGTTAGATAACCAGAGAGTGTTTTACCCCTCCTGCGAATCATTGGGAAAATCGCGCCCGTTTCACTGCACCTGGGATGCCCTCCAAGGCTGGAGACATGGGCAAAAAAGGCACCGCAGCGCTCATCTTGTAGCCCTTCTCAGCTCGCCTGAGCCATTGGGCCGTGGCCATTAAAAAAAGCACGGCACCTGGTTGATTGTTGATGGCAGAGTTAATACCTGGTTGATTGGGGATTATTGTTATTACTATGATTGGTATTGTTATTAATTATTAGTTGTTAGTTTATCAATGTTCATCATCCATCCCATCATGGGAATCCTGACATCATGGCTATATAAATCCTTACCAATGAATTGATGACCATCTCCCAAGACGGGTTCATCTACAGTAATCCATTCCGATCAATCCAGGTCGGCGGAAGCCCAGATCAAAACGATATGGGAAACTCCCCATTTATCATTTAATAGGATGTACATCATATGAATCCCAAAGAAAAATAGAGAAGTAAATTCCCACTAAAATAGTGATGACTCATGATGACTCATGATGACTCATGAATCACTTCTCTATCTTATTGGGGGTTGCTATACCCCCAGAGCTCCGAAGCGCTCCCTTCATCGGTTCCTCGGACCTCGCCACACGGCCACGGCCAGGGACAGCTCCGGCGTTGCAGAAGCTGCTGCGGCTGCTGACGCTACGCTCCTCGTCCTGGAGATTCACATGGGAATTGGGGTATAGTAACCCCTAAAAAAAGATAGTTGGTAAAATCCTATGAAATTAGTGGTAAATGATATTAAATGACGATCTTTTTGTGGGGATTACTATATATTACCACTTAGCTTTTTAACCTTGGAGAATCCTTCTTTTCTTACTTTTGAACATCTTTGCGGCAATCCGCCCAGATTGCACCTGGCGTAGCAGCCGACTTCACTCAATTGGATCAATCCAAACTATGGGGAGTATCTCATCTCCCATCTCTCCCATCGTAACAGCAGAGCGCACCTTTTGGGCATACAGCCAGGGAAAGCCGTTGCCGGTGAGTGTGGCCTTGCCGCCAGGGGATGGCTCGGTCAAGTTCAAAGCACATTCTTGTTCCGTGATCCAACCAAAAAAAAGACGTGTATCAACTGAAAAACTCAGCATCTTCCCAACATTATGGTTAAAAAACAGTGATATATATTTGATATTTCATGAGTTATTCTTATTCCATGTTATTCTCAACATTTTCCCAACATGTTCACCCAACATCAGCGCCATTCTCGCCTGAGTAATGGCGCCACCAAAGGCCAACATGGCCTCCAATCGCGATGTCGGGATCATCGGAGCATTTAACGATGGGTCGAAATAGGTCGAAATCCCCATTTTCAGACAGACCCAAATGTGGTTTACCCTCTGGTAAACATACAAAAAACTATGGAAAATGGCCATTTATAGTGAGTTTTCCCATTAAAAATGGTGATTTTCCATAGTTATGTATTAAATTACCAGAGGGTAAATGCTGAATTTTGGTTGATCTTTCGGAAATGCTTTCGAATTTTTTTGGTTTCCATCTTGGGAGGTGCAATGCGTCATCGAAAATATGTCACAGTCTTACAGGGCCCAATAGTTACCATGTAGTTACACTTCAACTGGAACAACCGGAACCACCTCCCTTGTAGGACTGCAACTGGTTGACACAAAAAGATCCAGGACTTTGGCCAATAAGTTGGGCCTTTGTTCTGGAAAAGCCACGATAAATAGAGCTGATTCTAGAGCTGATTCTATTGGGGGAACCATGGGTTTTTCTATATCCAACCCTGATAGCTTCCCAGAAACATCGGAAACATGTTTCATCCCGGCTGCCAATCGTCCATTCTTCAACTCCTTGAGCTTCATCTCCTGGCAAGCAACCGTTCCATGGAACGAAAACTCTCTGTAGATGTAGATATATATATATGTATATATATATAGTCATCCTGAAGTCGATAGAATACGGAATTTTCAAAGATGACCCCTATATATATGTATATACAGTACATACATATACATATCCATATACATCCCCCATTCTCCTTGATCTTGGCTTCGTCTTTGGGAAGAAAGTTGACCCCCAAGCGATAGTCACCTGGTCAGGCTGCGTCAGGCTCCAAGGTGACGTTCGCCCTTCTAAAGAAATGGAACTATGGATCCATGGGGATTGATATTATATATATAAGTTGGAATGATCATGGTAGCGTTAAGACTCCTAGGGTTTTCTGGTGATTTTTCCGTGGCAACAAACCCTTGGCACCTAGACATTGAAATGATCATGGTAGCGTTAAGACTCCTAGGGTTTTCTGGTGATTTTTCCGTGGCAACAAACCCTTGGCACCTAGACATTGAAATGATCATGGTAGCGTTAAGACTCCTAGGGTTTTCTGGTGATTTTTCCGTGGCAACAAACCCTTGGCACCTAGACATTGAAATGATCATGGTAGCGTTAAGACTCCTAGGGTTTTCTGGTGATTTTTCCGTGGCAACAAACCCTTGGCACCTAGACATTGAAATGATCATGGTAGCGTTAAGACTCCTAGGGTTTTCTGGTGATTTTTCCGTGGCAACAAACCCTTGGCACCTAGACATTGAAATGATCATGGTAGCGTTAAGACTCCTAGGGTTTTCTGGTGATTTTTCCGTGGCAACAAACCCTTGGCACCTAGACATTGAAATGATCATGGTAGCGTTAAGACTCCTAGGGTTTTCTGGTGATTTTTCCGTGGCAACAAACCCTTGGCACCTAGACATTGAAATGATCATGGTAGCGTTAAGACTCCTAGGGTTTTCTGGTGACTTTTCCGTGGCAACAAACCCTTGGCACCTAGACATTGAAATGATCATGGTAGCGTTAAGACTCCTAGGGTTTTCTGGTGATTTTTCCGTGGCAACAAACCCTTGGCACCTAGACATTGAAATGATCATGGTAGCGTTAAGACTCCTAGGGTTTTCTGGTGACTTTTCCGTGGCAACAAACCCTTGGCACCTAGACATTGAAATGATCATGGTAGCGTTAAGACTCCACGGGCTTGAAGCGGGAACGGAGCCGGAACGAAGCGGATTCGATGATTTCAATGTTTTTTCAAGGTGTTCCATGGTTTTCTTGCCTGCCGCTTCACTCCCGCTTCAGTTCCGCGTTCCTTTTTTTGTGTTTTTTAAAGAGTGTTTCGATTCTTCCAGATGTTTTTTATCTTTTTAGATTTTTGATTTTTTTTTTGACTTTTTAGATGTTTTTATGTTTTTTTTCCTGGATTTGTCTCGATTTTTTGGAAAGGATAGCAAGTTTTAGCAGTAGCCCTGTTAGGAGAGTAGCCCAGGGTTCTTTAATGAATTTGATCACTCTGCTTTTCTTCATTTCCTTACCCGCCGATCACCTGGTCTGGATCATCTGCTGACAACACCAATTCGTGCCACAATCTGATCACCTCTTTTGATATTTATAATATTTTATAATTTGATGGGATCAAGTCCAGCCATGCTCTGATCACCAGGTTTGGTCAGTTCTGACCTGGAAAATCCAAAAGTTAAGTTAAAGCTACTACGATGATAGCAATATATAAGATATCCACCATAAACCCTACTTAGCTGACTTATCTAAGATATCCATTCAAGGTAAAAATATGGGATTTCAAGCATGAGAAATGGTGGTTTAATGGGATTGTGATGGGACAAGAAATGTAGGAAATTCCATTCATAGAGTCCATGGCAGCTATTATGTGAAACCCTGCGGAATCAATGGGTGTTGACCATTGTTGGCCCATCCAAAAGATGGGAATAGATACAATGTGGTGCCCCCCTCCCAGTTGTAAGTTGGTTTAGACTCCTCATCAACTTTGGATATGTATATACTACACTGTATATGCGTATATAAAAAGATAGAAATACCTACTACAAACCCTAGCTATTGGAGCGATTTGCACCAACTTAGCGAACGAACTGGTGCACCACCTTGTACCAACCATTTCTGCGGATTTTGCTGAAACGACAAAGGAATTTGGACGAACAGAACGGGGAGTTCAGTTCCATCATTTCGCTGTGGATTTGTCGATCCAGAATGGCTTTTTGTCCAGTTCGCCATGGCCTGCCTGGCAAAATACCAATCATTCATTCGAAAACCACAAGCAAAACCCCAGTTCCGGTGCCAAATCTTAACACCGCTCAATTCTCCACCTGCATTTTCCAAGGTGAGGCCGGGCTTGTTGGAGACATTGCTCGTTTTGGCCTCGGAGGGTCTCGACCAGTCGTCGTTAGACTGAGCGTCCATGGTGGAAACCACCTTTCTGAATCGTTTTTGGATTTGCTGTCAAAAAAGGACCTTTTTGATCCTTTTTTGGCTGGTTTGGTATACCAAAAACCTCTTTTCCTCGTTCAGTGGTCAACCCTCAACCAGTGGAGAAAGGGACATCTGGACATCTTGGTTTCGACTTTTGCACATGGCCATCCCTAGAATCCCTACTGTCGGCAAAAAAAAAGGACACCCAAAATCTGGAAAAGGATCTTGCGGCCTATCATCAAATGGACCAAGAAAATCCCGGGGAACTCGGAAATTCGTGGGGCCGCCATGCCCGATCTCAGATCTCAGATCCAAACGAAGGTGGTCAACATCTCCACTAAGCCGCAGAAGGCGAAGACCTGCGACCAACCAAGTTTGGGATTTGATGCACGAATCGCAAAAATGATATTTGTTCAATGGAAGTCAATAAAAAGAGCCATGTTTTTGTCACATATAAGTCATATAAGTCATTTTTTCTGTGGTAAAAAAGATCACTTTGATCCAAAGGTCCAACAACTTTTGGTCATCAGATGAATCCATGTGGGTAAAAGTCACTGCAGGGTGTCTCCAATGTCTCCAAAATGAAGTTTCCGATGGCCTGGAAGAGGGGGCCCACCTGGTGTCCCTCCTTGTTGTAGAAGTCCTTTGTCAATTTCATGGCAGTCGATGATGTCAGCCAGACTTCCAGCATTTCCATGAAAAATTGTAGTTTGACCAGGAAAAATAGAGGTTGTCGTTTAGATAAAAGTTCTCCGAGGGATTTCGAAATTGTCAAGGCCCACGCAAGTACGCAGCTTTTGATCATTTTTAATATCAACTATCCAAGTTTGACCAAACCCCAAATCGTCGCATCGTGGATTTTTTAACATTGGAGCTACTGTCCAATAAAAATTGAGTTTCGTTGGTTTTCACAGTTATTCTTACAATACGCTTGCCCACTTGGTATCTATCATTCAGAAACGAGACTGCGTTTCATCTTATTTGCCATTCAACATGGATGCGAACAACAAAACAAACAGATTGCTTTCTGTATGCCAATATGCATATACACCGGTATATCTCCAAAAAAAAAGTACATTTATCTACTTCAAAACCCTCAAACCTCCACCATTGCCAGGGCTGCCAGGTGACTGTGGCATCCAGCACGAAAGGGAAATATGGATCTCCGGCGCACGCGTTGTGCGCTTCCACCACTGTCTTGGCTCCGTAGCACTGTTCAGGCCCTGGTGGAGGGGCACATTTTGGGGGACCCCGAGCCGGGGCCCAAGGACCGCCCTAAGTGGATCGGAGAACATCGGAGAACCAGTGAACAGAAAAATCTGAAGATCTAGGACCTATAGGACCTATAGGAGTTCGGAAATTCCAAAGGTGGGTATATCTGAGCTTTGAAGTCTAAGTGGAATTGAAGGCAACAACAATGGATGTTGAAGGCTATCGGCTATCAAACGCTTGTTCATAATTGGATGTTTTGTCAACATCTCGTGATGAACAGTTTCTCATTAGGCGGCCCGCCTGGGATTCGAACGAATTCCGGCACTACCAGACCGACAAAGGCCAACATAGCAATTCGGCCATGTTTCAACTCCGCCTCAGGTGATGGCGTGATGCGGAGCCATGTCTCATGTCGCAGCTGTCCAACCTATTCAAACCAACAAACTCAATTTATTTCAATTTTTATTATGAGTGGAATGAGTGGTACTTAATCATAACTTCTGGTTTTCTAAGCATGAATTAACCTGTGAACAATTTTAATCCTTGTTCCCGGATATCTGGTTGTAGTTGTTGGAATCCCTAACGTCCTAGTAGCCGGAGTCCAGGCAGCATTGCTGAGCGGCGCAAACACCGTTTTCCCTTGCGACTTGAGCCAAATATTTGGCGTCATGTCAGGCCTACTCCACATGCTTATACATGTGCGCAGTACCGTTTAGTTCCCTTTAGCACCCCCCATGCCTACGGTGGCTTCGCACCGCAGGCACGAGAGTGGGAACTTTGAATTATATTGTTTGTGGTGCACGAATTACGCCTTTGTACACGCAAACCATTCAGCTCCCCCTTCACCCACACCGTGAGACAGTTGAAGTCATTCAACGTTTCATACCCGGGAATTGCGTGGATGATCTTCATGACCTTTTCGGCTTCTGCAGTCTGCAGGGTGCAGTCGAAAGAGCCTCGTCTCTTGTCGTTGATGGTGCTTGTAGTTCTGGAAGTTGATGTGAATTGGGCCAATGCCTTCTCCAAGCCGTTGAGGAATTCAGCAGGGTCAACGCTGGCATTGAAGACATTCACAACCCCTTTTGCCATGTTTGCCACATCCAAGACACCAAGCCAAAACTCGATGATGTCCCCAGTCTTCTCGGCTGATGCACGGGAGAATCCGAAGATTTCGTTCCTGTCCTTCACCTCAGGAACAGCGACCTGCTCGAAGAAGTCCTTGTACGCGACATTCCCGCAATCTTTCGTGACCCTGAAAGCCAGGAGCCACTTCTTCGCGACCTCATCATAGATTCTTTCGCGGTAGATGCTGAACTGTTTGCTGCGTCCATTCCGGAAGATCTCCAGAGCCTGTCTCTTCGATACCCTGACTCCCCCCATGTGCGAAACAGACTTCATCAAGTGCTCCCCGTACGGCAATAAAGTGTTTGAAATCAAAGAAGATGCCGTGAAAGTAAGCCATGCTTGAAATCCTTGGTTGATATCGACCATGTCGATGCCACACTCCTCAAATGCGACCTTCAATCTGGCCGCCAGGAGCAAGACGGATTTCCTGGCTTCCAACGTAGGAGCGGAGCGCTTGTAGTGATCTTGGGTGTTTGCAGAGCAGTTGATGCAGTGGGTCGGTCTCAGCTGACATGTTTCGATCTCGTCCATCGTTACCGCCCCTCTGCAGGAGCCGCACATGATGTCAGAGCTCTCGTTGTCGATGTAGAACCACATGCATCGATCTGACACAACGGGTTCTAGTTCATGAGTGCCGACCACTGGTTCAACCCATCGGGTCTTAAACCTCTTGTCCTTCGTGAACCTGTTGGTGGCCGTTCCAGGGCCTCGTTGGAAAATGGTTGTGTCATCGGTCGCGTAGTCGCCTGGGGTCATTTCGCCACTTGCGATTCTGAATACCTCCGTTGGGCCAGTCATGTCCTCCAACACCTTTGTGTCGATTCCGGACTCCTCAGGTTTGAATGCCCCTTCATTGAGTACGGACACATACTCCCTGTTTGTGGCACACATGAGGAAAACCCTTTGGCGAAACAGGTTCTTCTCGATGACAGACCAAATTGCAGTCTTTCCCAGGGTCCCCTTTTTGGTCGTGTTCAACACTGAGAACTGTCTTCCATATTGGGAATACATCGACCGCCACATTCTCTGGTCGGACGTCACTAAGACCCCCTGGAGCCTCATCTTCTCGATCAGCTCAACTGCGATTCTTGATGTGACGGAGTCCACACCGTTGAACATGGAGTCGTTGTTGATGGCGACCATCAAGGGTCGGGATGTGACTTGATCAAGGTCAATCACCCCTTTGACAAATTGATTCTTGAAATCATTCTCGAGCATTACACAGTGGGGTGGCTTTTGTTCATGGAGGAACTGCAATGACAACCAAAGATGAACCGTTACCTGGCCATCATCGATGGTATCCGTTTTGAGATGTTGCTTGACCTTGTCAAGCGTATCGAGAAATTGTTGAAGTGGTCGTTCAAACTCAGAATCATGGATCTTGAAGACTTCAACACTCTCCCATCCCATGTCAGTTAACCCCATTTGAATGCCATGCGGCCCACGTTGGGTTCCCACGCGGAACATCAAATCAGTGATGAGGATCGTCCCAGCCCGGAAGTCACCGGCCAACTTGTCAACCTCCCTTGGGCCGCTCGGTGCTTCAATGATCCTGCATGCAAGCGGGTTCGTGATCAGCTTCTTGATTCGTCCCAATTCGGACTGATTGGCGATGTTCACGTCATGGTGTCCAAGCATCATCAGCATTCCCGCCGTTGACAGGTAGCATCCAGTCCGCGTCATCATGTATTTGCGGACGATGTGGCTATAGCATCTAAGCCAATCCTTCTCAGCTATAGTGGATGCCGTGTCCTCAGTCACGACCCCTGGATTGCAGACTCCAAAGACCATGCACCCGTAGGCAGTCACTCTCCTCAAGTACTGTGCCCAAGGTGCTGATCCCGATGTGCTGGCAGCCGCTGCTGCAGGGCCTTGGACAATTGACAGCAGGAAGTTGTCCCGATCGTCCATCCAAGCAGATGTGATGAACTCTGAATTCCTTTGGTCGGGCATTGAGGATGTCCTGAAAAGATACCCATTTGGCACCCGAGGAATTACCCAGTCCTTTCTTGCAGGAGGTGTCGATGGCCTTGGTTTCGAAGGTGGAGCCTTCGGTGGGGGAGCGCTCCCAGCTGCAGAGCTTATCATAATTCACTAACCTGAAATGTTGGGCCATAAAAGGGGATGATTCCCCATATAAAAACCATGATTTCCAGAATATCATAGAATGATATGAATGGCCCCTGAGTCGAATACGACCTGGGAAGACCCACCCATCGACCCATCGGTGCCTCGCGGAACCATGGCAGGTACTTCTCGCACTTCACGGCCAGACCCAAGGGGTCGAAGTTGAAGTCCTCGAGGCCAAGTTCCGTTTGGATGCATTGGATGATCTGAACAAGTAAAGATAGATTTGATCATCTAAATCAATATTGGATGATATTTACTATATTTACAATCATCTAAAATCAATCCAATTGTTGAACAATATTGGATGATCATCGAAATCAATATGATTGTATAACAAAAGCTAAAACATATGACAAATTCTCCAAATTTGGGGGTCAAAGCACAAATGTCAGATGGTGCGAGGCCCAGTGTGGGGTCTCCGAGATTCGTTTCGAACCTCCCAAGCGACACGTTGGGCAATTTTGGGAAAGGTCTGATACTTGCATCTTCCCTGAGTTTGCTCAATGGAAAGATTTGGCTGATTTTTGCCAATTCTTACAAGCTTCGCAGTTGGAGAGGAGATTCTGTCCTGTATTTTTCTAGCAGCTAGCCGAGGGATAGCGGAGGGAAAACCGTGCTTACGTCTTGGACGTTTTTCGATGTCTATCGAAATCATTGGTGCTGGTAAATATGACGATGCGGGAAATAATGTTCAAAGCAACTTGCATACACAAGAGATGTCACGCCACATGATGTTACATTGCCAAGAGATGTCATGCTACATGATGTTACATGCACAAAAGTGTTACGCCGCATAATGCTAGATTGGCAAGAGATGTCACTCTAGATGATGTAACACATACGCACACAAGAGATGTTAACCTACATGAAGTTAGATTCAGAAGAGATGTCACCCTACATGATCTTACATACACACAAGATGTTGCGCTGCATGATGTTAGATGAGAGAGAGAGAGAGTCACTGCCAGAATCTTGAACTGAAGCTGCGCAGAAAGACCCCGCGATTAGAAGCAAAAGATTCGTTTCATGTGACAAAACTGTCACCAGACTGCCAGACTGGCGAAAGGATCATTCTTTACAAAGAAAAACCTGTTGTGATATATATATATATATGCAGTTTACCACAAGTATCATTATTATTATCATATCATTATTAGATACTGCTAGATCATTGTATATAAAACATTATTAGATCATTATTAGATATTATTAGATCATATGAGATATAATATTGTTAGATCATTATCAAATATTATTAGATACTACTGGATCATTGTTAAATATTAGATCATCATTAGAGATTATTAGATCATTATTGGAGACTACGTCATTATTAGATATTATTAGAGTATAATTGGAGTATAATTGAATCATTATTAGAGATTATTAGAGATTATTAGATCCCTAATTAGATGTTATTAGATCATTATTAGATCATTATTAGATCATTATTGGATCATATTACATCATATTGGATCATACTAGATATTATTAGTTCATATTAGATATTAAATATTAGATCATCATTAGATTTTATTACAGTAAATCATTATTAGATCATTCTTAGTTCATTAAGAGACACTATTAGATCCTATTAGATAGTATTCTTATTAGATCATATTAGATACTACAGATCATCTTTTTACCACGATCTAGATCATTATTAGATATTATTAGATCTTATTGGATCATTTTTTACCGCAATCATCATATGGAGATGTCCTAAAAATGGCATGTGTCAAAATTTTCATGGGGGATCCACAAAACCACAAAACCCTGGGGTTTCTTCAATACTACCCTCTGGTAATGACTAACAGTTTGCGAACTTGAAAATGGCCCAGTCGAAATCGTGGATTTACCCATTAATAGCATGGTGGATCTTTCCATCGTTTTTTGTAAACGTTTACCAGAGGGTATATCCCATTAATATCCCATTGAATCACTATAAAGTCCCATCAAATCTTTATTTTCCATAGTTATTTATGTCATGGTCATTCATGACGACTGGATGATGCAGGGCTACCCCTGTAGGCGAACTCGCCTCGGAAGAACCCTGCGTCCTGTCCCGAGAAGGCGGACTCTCCCCCAATGAGGCCGCCAGCGAAGGGCTTCTCCTGTCCCAAAGATGTATAGATGGTACCACTTGGGTATTTACCCAATAGGATATGGTATGGGATTCCAAGACCTATAGTATAGGATTTTCATAACCTATCCATAAGCTATAGGATTCCATATGTCATGGGATATCAATAGGATATGGGATTGATACTGGGATTGATAGTGGGATTTCAGATGTTTCAATGGGATTTGTGGGGGATTCTAATCCATCCCATGGGATACTCAAAAAATAATCCCACGAATCAACTAGGTGAAGGTAACCATAGTCAGAACGCATCTATACACCGGATGAGCCATGATACCCTCCGGTAATCAAACATGGCTGGCTGGAAAATCTCCGATTTTCCCAGCAACACACGACACCTGCATATTTTTCATGGGGAGTTTCCAGAAAGATCTTCCAAATCCACAGGTCAATCAGAGTCAATCAATCTTTTTTGCCATGTTTTGGAGTTGAGACTAGTTGAGACGCCAGTGTCGGACAATCCAACACAGAAACTTCTGCCAGTGTTCGTGGCAAAAACGGGGTCCAAGTTCAACCAAACCTGTAGAATCTTCATATGTGTTGGTTTGAATAGATAGTTAGTCGCTACGAATTTCAGACTTTCTGAACATGAATCCAGAAAAACATAACTACAAGAGCGAAACCGTTGACGAAACATGAACACAATGTGCTTCAGGATTCAAAACCACTCATCCACATCCTGGCAGTTGGTGAATGGGGGCGGGCACAGCTTGTAGAGTCGATATGCCAATTTTCGCATGTCCCAACCTTCAATTAGTGACTTCCTCAGGGGGTAATCCAATGGTTTGCCATCCAAAAATCCCCATCCAAAATGGTCATTTTGGTGGCCATTTCCAAACAAACCCAGAATCACATTCTTGCTGATCACTCCCATTCTCTCCATATATCTCCATGAGAGGAAAAGAAACATGAAACATCTCTGTTGCCACTTAGCTTCCCAGCTTCCCAGCGCCACCCAGCACCACAGCCTCTGCCCTCACCACGGTGCGCCGCCGCGCCAATGCAACTGCCGCCGTTGCGAGGCCCACCGTCATGGCGTGGCCACCCTGGCGACCCGCGGGGCCGGACGTTTGCTGGCTGCCGCTGCCGCGAAGCACCGGCGCGGAGGGGGCGGAAGGTGCTGAAGGGGCCAGGAAGGCCTGAGAAAGTCGGGAGATGAAGCCCCAATTCACAACTTTCATGGGGAAATTGAGGATCAACCCATACTTTAGGGTGGTACCCTAGTTTCAGAGAAACCCGAACTGAGTTCAAAGGTTGGCTGTGAAGGTGTTACGAGACATCATCTCATCGTGCATGAAATATGCTGCTCCTCTACCAGTCACCCTGCTATGTAACTCTGGCAACTCTGGCAACTTTGCATTTGCTTTGTGGTTGAACCTGTTTCTTTGAATGGCCTTGTGCATACTCAATTCCATCAAGAGCTGAGAAGCAAACATCTTTCCTGTTCACTTCTTGTCACTACGAATCAAGTACATTGCCAGCAAGAACTCTTTGTTCAGCCCTCAGCCAATAACCCACTTGGGTGTTTCTGAAATGTTTTTGAACCTCCAAAATCCAACAAAAATCCACCAAAATTCACCATTTGCATCCATTTGTCACTTATTTATATCAGTTGCAAACTTCAGGGAAAGAGCGCAGGGCCTGTAGTGCGGAAGAGCCCAAAACCGCGGCGCCCATGGCACCAATCGCCATGCTTGTGCTGGACCTGCCAGCCATGCAGCCATGGGGCCCTTCTGAATGATACACCGGAACTACTGGGAACATCCGGGGACATCATGGGATGTAACTTATCTAACCAGCAATCACTTGGGGAAAAATATGGAAAAATGTAATAAAATGTATAGACTTACTGGTTTACCTCAGCTAGTATGTCGATTAGAAGCGCCTCGAACTAGACTATGTCTACTTACCCTCATTATCACTTGGGAGATAAACCACTCACTAAGTGGAGTGAACATCACCAAGTACTAAGTACATAATGGGCTGTAGCCAACGAATATGCATAAAGACCGGCTACTTTGGGCGTGAAAACAAACACTGGTGCCACACTTCCAAAAAGAGTGGAAAAGCTAGGGATCTTAGTGGTTTGAAGCCCTTCGACGATGCATACCTCTTGAAACACACAGTTTTGGAGGTTGCTTAGATAGTCATATGATAGTCATATTTGATAGTCATATGATAGTCATATTGTGGCTTGATGTCCCTGCCTGAACCCGCAAAGCTTCTGTGGAATTGACCCAGAGACTGGGGATTGACCAGGGCCCCACTCGCCTGGATGACATGTTTCTGGCGCCAACTGGAAGGGAACGGAAAGCCCAAAGGCTGCGCACACTCGGACAGGTAACTGCATGATGACCAGTTTCACGACAGTTTCATGACATGTTTCCACAGTTGGCCAACCCATCTCTAAGCTGCACTAGCACAGTACCATCCAAGTGCTGATTCTTCCAGCAAAACAGCCCCTGGGATTGTGCGGCGGAGATTAGATGTGGGGTTTTGGGTTCCCAAGTCTCAGAAGAACCAAAAAAAAAAAGCTGCGCTATGGATTTGGTGGATTGCCACCCCATGTTTTCTGGGTGTCAACCCCAAAGCATCAGCTGCACCAAAAAAAGCGGCGTGTGTCCATTTTTGGGCCGACTGCCCAGGCGCGTCAGTTGTGAAATCAACCTGCAGCTCGACCCTCTCGACCCCACTTTGCCATAGAAAATCGGCATATCTAAAAGGTAAATCATCTACTTATCTATACTTAAATGGGTCATTTCATGTTTGCTCAGTGGTACCGCATGTTTGAGCCATACCCGAATCACCTGATCTTTAGTCTTGAAAACATGTGTGAAATTGCCGACTTTGCGATCCCAACAAACAATTTTTGGAAACACCAAGAAAAGGACGTTTGTTGCTGCATCCCAGTGTCTGTTGTATGTTTGCTTTCCACAATTTTCCACATACTTGATGTTCATGTTTTGAAGCTTTTCTGGAGACAAACAGCAGCTGACCAGCAAAAATACACCATCTCCAGGCAACTCCCAGCCTTCACGCGGGTATCAAAAAGAGCCGCCTCTTTAGCTTAGCAAGTTTGGATCCACTGGCGTCGGTTTGGGATAAAAAAAACCATCAGCAAGTAGGGTAGTAGGGGAACTAGCAACAAAAATTTAGTGCTAGAAATGGGAGCATCACCTTTGGCAATGGAACGAATTGTGCCATGGATCAAGAATGGGGTACCATAACTGCCATAACTTTGGTCATTTTCTGGCAACGATCCAATTTTCAGCGTCAATTGTGTTGATAATGTTTTGATCGCACCATTTCACGGCCGACTTTATTGGAGAAAACTAGTGATTCCAACACCAGGAAAAAGACACAAAGTGTCTGAAAGGTGGGTATCCACAATCAAGCACCTTCGAACCACACAGAACCCTCAAATGTCCCAGTGGGCACACCAGACGAGGCACGGTGACACCGTGATAATCGTCTTAGAGGCCCAATCTGCCGCTGTTCCTAGGGGATGGCAAAGTGACAGGTATCACTTTGGATTCCCCCGTTCTTGGATTATGATCATCCCCAATATATTGGCTAGTATAATCCCCAATCATCAACCAACAGGGGTTTTGGGATACATCCTAGAGTCCCATTTAAGTGGAATACCGGGATACCTGTAAAGTGTTCACCTGTAAGTGTATATTATTATCATCCCCAATCATCAACCAACAGAAGTTTTGAACACTGGTTGATGATTGGAAGATCCCCATCGGATTGGAAGATCCCAAAAAAAAATGGGTTGATGACTTGATGATCATCACATGATCCACAGAAGTTTTGGTTCCACTTTGGCACCTAGAGATGTGGGGATGGGTCAAAACCCTGGTACCATTCGTGGACCCCAAGTCATAGCTGGGTTAAAATGGATGTTCATCCCATTAAAATGCTATTTTCATAGGTATTGATCCATAGCCATTTCAATATGGTTGATGGTCATCCCATCCATAATATTCGGATCCAAAAATCATGGTTATTATAAAATCACCATTGGATGACTAGCCCCGTTTTTAATGGTTAACCATGAGTATTGATCCAAGCTGCAGCGCTCCGGCGGTGGAGTCCAAGTCCCAGGAGCCCTGCGTCGGCTGACCAAGTGGCTGAGATAGGCTGACCTATGGGAAAACATGGAAAAAAACCTGCTTTTAGATGGGGAAAACATGGGAAAAAACCTGTTTTAAATGGGGAAAACATGGAAAAATCATGTTTTAGATGGGGAAAACCTATTGTGACACCTATGGGAAAACTCATTGAGAAAATGATCTATATTCATGGTGGGTTATAGCCACATCTATGTTAACGGTTAAAGGAAGATAATACAATTATGTTTAACTCGAACATGATTTCGGGTTGGACAATCTTTTTGGTGCACATGTTTGTGTCAACAAATATAAAAATATAGAAACACCGTGTGTTGAACAAGAAAAAACGTGTAATGTTTGACCAAGGTCCTGCTCTTTGATTATAGAAACCGGGAGTAAGCCGGCAAAAGTTACATAGAATATGTATATACAATTCTTAAGGCTCTTAAATCCACGTTTATTTGAAAAATATGGGTGGTTAACAGTTGCTGGAATCCATCCATTTAAGGGATTTATTCTCCAACAGCGTAAGCTAGGGGTATTCAGCCATAGTACAAGTTTCGGAGCAGGTCGGAGCAGCAAAAATCCGGATTCCCAAAGTTCCCAGGTTCCACCGAGCAAGGTTCCCAAGCAAGGTCCCCAAAGGTTCCCAAGAACAGGTTTCCAAGCAGGGTTCCCAGCAAACACGTTCCCAGGAAACAGGTTCCCAGGAAACAGGTTCCCAAGCAAGGTTCCCAAGAAAGGTTTCCAAGCAAGGTTCCCAAGCAAGGTTACCAAGAACAGGTTCCCAGGAACAGGTTCCCAAGAACAGGTTCCCAGGAACAGGTAGCAAGGTTCCCAAGAACAGATCTCTAAGCAAGGCTTTTCAGGAACATGTTTCCAAGCAACGGTTCCAAAGCAAAGTTCCCAAGGTTCCCACGAACGGGTTCCCAAAGGTTCCCAAGCAAGCAAGGGTTCCCAACAAGGTTTCCAAGCAAGGATCCCTAGAACGGGTTCCCAAGCAAGGTTACCAAGAACAGATTCCCAGGAACAGGTTCCCAAGCAAGCGTTCCAAGAACAGGTTGCCAAGCAAGGGTTCCAAGAACAGGTTGCCAAGCAAGGGTTCCAAGAACAGGGTTGCCAAGCAAGGGTTCCAAGAACAGGTTTCCAAGCAAGGTTGCCAAGAACAGGTTTGCAAGCAAGGTTACCAAGAACAGATCTCTAGTCTCTAAGCAAGGTTTTCAGGAACAGGTTCCCAAGCAATGTTCCCAAGCAAGGGTTCCAAGAATAGGCTGCCAAGCCAGGGTTCCAAGAACAGGTTTCCAAGCAAGGTTGCCAAGAACAGGTTCGCAAGCAAGGTTCCCAAGAACAGATGTCTAAGCAAGGTTTTCAGGAACCGGTTCCCAAGCAAGGTTACCATTCCAAGCAAGGTTTCCAAGAACAGGTTCCCAAGCAAGGGTTCCAGAAACAGTAATCAGAGATGGCAACAACAGTTGTCCAATTTTAGCTGACGACTCCTGACGACTCTGACGACTCTGACGACCTCGATCGCTGACGACTCCTGACGACCCCTGACGACCCCTGACGACCCCTGACGACCCCTGACGGCCCCTGAGGACCCCTGAGGACCCCTGACGACCCCTGACGACCCCTGACGACCCCTGACGACCCCTGACGACCCCTGACGACCCCTGACGACCCCTGACGACCCTTGACGACCCCTGACGACCCCTTGAGGGACCCTGACGACACCTGAGACCTGACGACCCGACGACCCCTGACGAAGCCCTGACGACTCCTGACGACTCTGACGACTCTGACGACCTCGATCGCTGACGACTCCTGACGACCCCTGACGACCCCTGACGACCCCTGACGACCCCTGACGGCCCCTGAGGACCCCTGAGGACCCCTGACGACCCCTGACGACCCCTGACGACCCCTGACGACCCCTGACGACCCCTGACGACCCCTGACGACCCCTGACGACCCTTGACGACCCCTGACGACCCCTGACGACCCCTGACCGACTGCCACAGGAGATCTTTGTCCGTTTTGACGCCCCTGTCTCTGACCTTTGTTCGTGTGTTGAACGTATTGGTTTGTAGGGTGGATGGGCGGGAAATTTCAACAATTTACCCCACATATTCTGTTGAGCGTATTGCTTTGTGAGGTCGAAGGGGGTTAAATCATGTTAAATCTATAACAATGACTCATATGCTAAACCTATTGCTTTGTAGGGTCGAGGGAGATAAGTTTCAAAAATGGCTCAAGATGCCAATGTTCTTCACATGTTCAACATATTGGCTTGCTGTAGGAGAAGGAATTAACGAATATAAGAATGATTACATTTCATTTTGTTCATATATTCAACGTAATAATTTCCAGGGGAAGGAAAAGACACCTTAAACATGGTTCATGATGCCAAGTTGTTTTATATGTTGAACGTAGTGTTTTGGTAGGGGACAGCGGGGAAAAAACATAACAATGACTCAAGATTCCAAATTGGTTGATATGTTGAGCGTAGCGTTTTAAAAGGGATGGGGGGAGATGGAGGGAGTACATTCAAACTTCAAAACAACGACTCAACATGTCAACTTTGTTCATATATTACAGGTACTGCTTTGTATTTTGTGGAGTCGACGAGAGGTTATAATTTGCAAAAAAAACCACATGTCAATTTTCTGCACTTGTTCAACCGTTTGCTTTGTAGGGTCGAGGGGGGCTAAATTTTAAGAATAACTCGACGTGTCAACTTTCACCGTAAAAAAAACTCGACGTGTCAACTTTCACCTTTTTTTTTTTAACGTATTGCTTTGTAGGGTCGAGGGACTGTAAATTTCAAAAATGACTCAAGATGCCTTTCTTTCCATGTGTTCAACGTATTGTCTTGTTGCAGGGGAAGGCAAGGAACATTTTGACATAAGTAAAGATGCCATGCTGGTTCATACACTAAACATAGCGTTTCGTAGGGGACAGGGCAGGTAAATCCAAAAGAATGAATCAACATGTCAACTTGATCCATATGTTGAATGTATTGCTGTGTATGGTCCAGTGGGCGTAGATTCCAAACATGACTCGAAGTTCCAATTTTGTTCGTTCAACGTCTTGCTTTGTTGTAGGGGAAGGTAAAGACATTTCAAACATGACTCAGGATGCCAAGTCGGTTCATATGTCGAACAAAGTGTTTTGTAGGGGGCCGGAAGGTAAATCTATAGCAAT